CCTCTCTGCCCCTCTCTGCCCCTCTCTGCCCCTCTCTGCCCCTCTCTCTGCCTCTCTGCCTCTGCCTCCTGAATTCTGGGGCCATCAGGTCTGGATCTTAAGAGATTATTGTACCTAACAAATACTTGCCTAACAAATATTATGTACATAATAGTAATTCCTAGCCAAAATTTTATTAGGATAGCACTCAACCAACCCTGTCTAACTCCAGGTACACAGAGCAATCCTCTGATTGTTCCTTACTCTATGTTCTTTCACCTTATGTCTAGGGTGAAAACTCACTGAGTTCACTGACAACTAGCCAAAGAAATTACTTAAAAGGGGAGAGGAAGAGATTATTAAAGAAATTTATAAAATGTAAAGCCGGCCACTTTTCTTGCCAAGGTAATAGAAATTAAAGTTTAAGTTTGGCTAGGTGGTGGTGGTGTACAATCCCAGCACAGAGACCAGCCTGGTCTACAGAGTGACATCCAGAACAGCTAGGGCTACACAGAGAAACCCTGTCTCAAAAAAACTAAAACCAAAGCAAACAAACAACAACAACAACAACAAAAAAAAAGAAAATTTGTTGTTGAGACAGAGTCACACTATGTAACTCCACTATGTGAGCCATCTGTGAGGCCTTGACCTCACAGATCGGCTCATATCTTCCAAATGCTGGGCTGAGATTAAAGTTGTGAGCTATAATACCTGGTATACTCAAGGGTTTTGTTTTATAACTTATTCTTTGATAATTTCATACCCATGTCTTAATGTGTGTGCATTTCACAAACCCATCCTTTCCCCATTGTCTTTTCATTTCCCACTTCCACAGAACACTTTGTTTATTTCAGCAAGCCCTCCTGCTTTCAAGTTCTGTGTTTTTTTTTTTTTTTCTGTTACCCTTTGAGTTTAATTAGGGTTGATGAGGTAACTTATTAGTGGCTGTTCAACTGAAGAAATGGACTCTCTTCCCCCAGCAACCATTAACCGCCAATAACTCCTCAGGGATGGATGGGGGTCTCATGAGCCCTCTCTTTGTCCATGACAAAATATTGATGGGCCGTATTTGCTACTGTGAGTTAGTAAGTGCAGCTGTCGTGTCATGTGTGGAGGACAGTATTTCACAGTTTTGTTTGTTTCTTTTCCCCAGCCCCCTATAATTCCATGATGTCCTTTCAGCCTTGGAGAGGGTGAACTAGACTGTCCTAAGTGTTTAGGGCTGAGCTCTCAACATTATTCTTCCAGTTACGGATTGCTTTACTAACTGCATATGTTTCTCTGTCCAAGACTGAGAGCTGCAATAGTCTGTGGGTATAAAAATAAACAATTGAAGGTAGTTTGGACAAAACAAGAATAATAGGTTCGTTACCACAGAGTCTGAGACTTCCCCAGCCATGGGCTTTAGTCCAGGTTTACAGGTAAAAGCATGATTTCCCTCCTGTGGAATGGGTCCCAAATCTGATCAGAAAGTGGTTGGTTATCTACATAACAGTCATGACCCTATTTATTGTACCCATGAGGATATTTTGCCTGACAGGTTGGTATTGTAGTACAGAGTGTATATATGGGTTTGACTGTTGATGGCTTTTCTCAGAAAGCTATTCACAGGGGACAGTTTCTAGCTCAGTTCCAACTTGATTTCTCAGTGTGTGGTGTCATCAGCAGTGGGGTTTTAAAAGCATCTGGTTCTGGTGGTGGCCAAGATCTGTTTTTAAAGAAAGCCAACATTTGTTTCTTTTCCTGCAGTTACCTTCACCTGTTGTGAAGCACAGCACCTTTCAAGCCACTGTAGAAATGGACAAAGAAGAAAGGAAGATTATCAACAAGGGTCAAGAAGATGAAATGGTAACCAACTTTCATAATTTTCTAGGGAGTAAAAGGATACAATTAAAGAAAAACCAACATAGGTTGAGGGAGTGTGTTTGTCCACCTGCTGTTCTGAGGCTCCAGGTTTGATCTCTAGTGAAACACCCACTCAACACATAAATCGGAATCTCTGCATCCTAAGGGTGGGTGTGTATTTGTTTTAGACAACAAAGTCTCACTAGAAAGTCATGGCTGGCCTGAAACTTGTTAAGTAGACCAGGCCGGCTTCAGTCTCAGAGTTCTAGCTGCTTGTACTTGCCAGGTCCTAGAATCAAACACACGAGCCAGTATTCCTGGCCTGACTGAGGGAGTGGTGGTAGGTTGTTTGTTTGTTTGTTTGTTTGTTTTGAGGCAGGGTTTCTCTGAGTAGCCCTGGCTGTCCTGAATGGACCTCTCTCTGTAGAACAAGCCTTAAACTCAGAGATACGCTTTCCTCTGCTTATCTAATGCTGGAATTATTTATTTTTGGTTATTTGAATCAAGGTTATATAACATTTATGTTGGTTGGATTTTTAAAAATAATTCATTTTTATGTGCATTGGTGTTTTACGGGCATGTATGTTTGTTTCAGGTGTCAGAAGCCCTGCAACTAGAGTTATAGACAGGTGTGAGCTGCCATATGTGGGTGCTGGGATTGAGCCCAGGTTCTCTGGAAGAGCAGCTCTTAACACCGAGCCATCTCTTCAGGCCTGTGTAGTTTGGATTTTAGTATATAGCCTTTTCAGGGTTTTTGTTTGTTTTTGTTTGAATTGTTGGTTTTCATCTTCTCTTGTAGTTTAATTATAGTGAGCAGTGAATGGCCAATTTATTTTGTCCATCAGAAGCATGCCTCTCCTGCAGCTTCTTCAGTTTCATCCTGAAGTGGGGGCAGGATTTTCAAATACCTGAGTCCTTATCCTGAGAAACAAGTAATTTTAGATGTATTTCATAGCCATGTGACTTAATGGGAGCGTTAAAGTAGAACATTTTACACACACACACACACACACACACACACACACACACACACACGAATGAATGACAGAACTGGAGTAAAGTCCACATAGTTCCAAAAGTTTTTTTTCTTTTCCTCCTCTTCCTCTTCTTTCTCTTTTTCTTCTTCCTTCTCCTTCTTTTGGCAGTTTCATTACTTTTTAATTTTTTTCTTTTATTGAAAATAGATTTTTTCCATTCTGTATATTCTGATTATGGTTTCCCTCCCCTTCCTCCCAGTTCCTTCTATTTCTCCCATTTGGATCTACCCCATTTTTGTCTCAATAGAAAATGAAAAGGCATCTAAGGGATAATAATAAAACAAAATATTATACAATAGATAAAAACAACAACAAATGAGAATAGGACAAAACAAGCAGAAGGGAAAGAGTCCAAGGGAAGGCACAAGAAGCAGCCATAGACACACAGACACACGTGTTTACACATCCAAGAATCTCATAGAAACACATATGCAAAACCTGCCGGACAAAAAGAATAAATTAAAGTTAAAAAAAAGGAAAATAAAGCCTGGACAGGACATTATGAAGACAGGAGAGGAAATGTGAGTTTGATGCCAGCCTAAACTATATAGCAAGGAGAGAACTTTAGTCTTTGATTAGTTTAAACACACCTACTTCACCTAACAAAACTGAGTTTTTGTTTTAATTGAACTTTATAAACCACAAATGAAACGTTTACTTGGGGAATTAGCAAGATGTCTCAGAGACATTGTATACATATGGTGTATAGACAGTAGGCAAAATACCCATACACATAATACACATAAACTATATGTATTTATTTGCTCATCAATCATATATATAGTATCAATCATATATATATATAGTATCAATCATATATATAGATATATGCTGTGTTAGTAGCAAAGAATTTATTAGACATAAATACAAAATGTGATCAACAAATTTTACTATTAAGTCTAAAATTTATATAATGAACTTACTGAAAATAACATAGGTAAATTAGCAGTTGAGAAAATACAGTTTATATGCAAAGAAAATAGTTTGAGAGCAAATTTTAGTTTATCTGGCTTATCATTTTCTCATCACGTGATTACTACTTCTGTGCAGGAGATACATGGCTATAACTTATGTCGCTGGAAGCTTGCCATGGTTTTTGTAGGGGTGATTTGTACCGGTGGTTTTCTCCTCCTCCTCCTCTACTGGATGCCTGAGTGGCGAGTGAAAACCACATGTGTTAGAGCTGCAGTTAAAGACTGTGAAGTGGTGCTTCTCAGGACGACTGTAAGTCTATGCGTGTATTTACTAGTAGCTAATTATACAAGAATTAAATAGTGGCTTTGTATAAACTGTTTAGAATAAGTAAATGGGACTTTATTGCCAGGAAATGATAAGGAATGTTTAATATTTTTAAGTATGGCTTTGATATGAATTCTGTTCCAGTGAATAGGCTAAAAGGAGTCTTAAAGCTGATGAGGCTGTCCTTTTGTAGCTCTTCATGACCCACACGGTATTAGATACTTAATTGTCTTTAAGGCCCTGGCCCTTTAGGATTATATAGCCCATATACCTCATTGACTTGGCCTGCTATTGAGTGTGATGTTACATCTTAAGCAATTTGTTTAGAACTTTAATTGGAAGCATTTTTTAAGAAGCTGTAATATTTAATGTTCAGTGTATATGTGATTAAGGATTTGTGAACTTTTATAGAATCTATTGATAGTTTGTATTGGTAAAGTGAGTAAAAGTTGATGAGAAATTTTTCATGCTAAATGAGTATGAATAGTACTCTGTCAACAAGAGATAACTAAATTTGTAAATAATAGCATTTACATAAAATTATAGGCAATTATTTAATATGCATAATAACTGATCTTTCTTTCTTCAAAGGATGAATTTAAAATATGGTTTTGTGCAAAAATTCACTTTCTTCCTCTGGATAATCAACCAAATTTGAATGCAAAATCTTTAGTTAATAAGGTTCCTAATGGCCATGCTGTTCTTCTGACTGAAGAAAATAGATGCGAGATGAATAAATACTCACAGAATCAGTCACAACAGGTACTGTGATGGAGTGTCAAAGCTGTGAAAACTAATTTGCATTCTACATTATCAAAGATGCATTATAATTTTACATTTGCAGTTACTGCTTGAAATAAAATTGCACGCTTTGTAAAATACCTGTCACTAGATAAAACTTTAGGGTTTTTGTTTTTTGTATTTTATTTTTTGTTTTTATTCTTTTCTTTCATATATTGCATTCCAACTGCAATTTCCCTTCCCTCTTCTTCTAGCCCCTCCTCCAAAAACTTTAGGTTTAATAGAAAGTTTGTTTTATTCGATACAAGATAAGCCTTTTGATGTAATATTATGTGTGTTCTACAGATGCGTTATTTTACTCACCATAGCATAAGATATTTCTGGAATGATGCCATTCACAATTTTGATTTCTTAAAGTAAGTATCTTTAGTTTGTTTGGAATATGTTATATTTTGTTTTAGTAAAAGTGGCTATATTCTAATGTTAACACAAAATCAAGGAGGCTTTTACTTCATTACTTTATTCACTTTATTAATAACTCTAGTGTTTGAAGTTTCATTAACCATTTTAAAGTAAGTCTCACCTGCAACTTGTATCTTGGAGAATTTTACATAAAATTTAAAACCATATACAGTGGTGCATGCCTGTGATCCCAGCAGTCAGCGGGTGAGGTGCATGAAGAATTTGAATATACCTTTAAACTTAGGTTTTCAAGTCTTTTTTTGTTGTTGTTGTTGTTTAGTTTTACTCTGGTTTTGGTATGTACTGAGCTGAACATCTGAGACACACACATGCTAATGAGTGGTGACTCTATCAGTGATCCCCACTCCCCAACCCCTATGCTTTTCTCTAGAGTATCTGAATTATTTCCTATGTTGATAGTCCCATCCAATTGTACTCAAAGAATCATGTAACATGTACCTAGAAAATTTTACTGTCTTGATGAGAAATGACACTGGCAATTGTTATCTTCGGATAGGACAAATTGGATTAATCCCTTATTTGTTTCATTTTTGTGTTTAGAGATCAAAGTTAAATGAAAACTTATATGGTTTAGACTTTATTTAAAAGATGGGGTCTTGCTACTTTGCTCAGTTTGTATCCAATTTCCCATCTTAACCTCCTGAGGATTCTGTTTTGCTATTATTCACTATTTGAAACACTAAATATCCTTGCTCTAGAATGCCAGAGAAGTTTGTAACTCTTAACAGTAAAAACAAGAATCAAGACCATTTAATACCTGGACTGCTTACCTAGAATACTAAAGAATATTCTGGAATTTGGCCAATGATTTTCTCATTTCTGATTCTGAAGTTGAAGTACCATTGTTTTAGGGAAAAATTCCAGTGTCCTGCAGGCTTGTAAAACACTTTGTTGCTATTCCCTCTTTGTACTGCATTCTGGAGAAGTCATCAGCTCTGATGGAAAGAATGTCTAACATTCTTGTTGTGTGGTCTGTTAGCCACTGAAACTTGTAAAATTTAAACCTACCATAATAGTATCAACAAATTGTAGAACTTAGCTTCTTTCCTATATATAAAACGTAGAGAATAAGTAGAGTTAATGTGTTTAATTTTCTTTGCTTTAGAGTTGTTTGGCAGGTATCTATTAAAATAAACATAATTATGACATTTTGGAGGGAAAGCAAATGTGTTTAGTTGGATCCTAGTTAGAATTGTTCTAGGTCGTAGACATCTATGATTGTAAATTCTGTGCTTTGAATGTAGTAGTCACAAAAGGACTTACTGGTGCATTGTGGAAGAAAATTAATAGTAAATAGTAACTCTTTAGTTTGGAAATCTCAGTCACACTTTAGGTTTTATTAGTTTGATTGTTGACTCATAAGCTTTAGAAACTGTTAAAGGATAATGCTGCTATGTATGTTTATTTATATAGTATTATTTAGAGCCATGACAAATGTAGTGGATAATTTAGTTGTGCTTGAGATTTAAACTATTGATTGTTTTATATTAAGAATTTGAGATTTTAAAATTCTCAGGACTTCTATTTTTTGTTCTTAAGAATTTCTAAGAAATTTGTAAGGAAGTTACAGTTTTAAAATCAAGCATATAGCAAAATGAGGCATTAATAAATTTGGATATTTTAAACTTTGTTTAAAGTAAAAACTTTGGATTTATTTAGGGGACTGGATGAAGGTGTATCTTGTGCATCAATTTATGAAAAGCATAGTGCAGGACTGACAAAGGGGATGCATGCCTACAGGTAACTTTATCCAACTGAAGTAGGTCTGTTCTCAACATTCCTAAATCCAGATGTGCATACAGACAGTTCTCTACCACATAACGTAGGTACTTAAATACTACAGTCTGTTAGTTATGCCTTACTGATATTTGAGCAAAACTCCCTCAGTTTAAGAACTATAAAAAATGTTAAAGCTAATAATTCCTTAAGTTATACTATTTAATCAATTCTAAGATTTCCCCACCTTTTCCTATTTCTGAAATTGGGATGTGTTGTGTATTGGGTAGAGTATCCTTCTCAATCACACGTAGTGTGTGCTCTGTAAGTTAGTGAAACCTTAGATTTTCTGATATGGGAATTGTAAGCATGCGCTGGTATTTCCCATATGAAACTGTAAACTGGGAGCCATGGTTTTTTTCCATGTGATTTTTTTTTTTAAAAGTATAAAAATATGCTGGTGTCCCAGCACTCAGGAGTCACAGGCAGGTGGCTTTCTGTGAGTTTGAAGCCAGCCTGGTCTACAAAGTGAGTTCCAGAACAACCAGGGCTATGCAGAGAAACCCAGTCTCGAAAACCAAACAAACATATTGCCAGCATATTGCACATTTTAAAGATAAATGTTGTGTTTTTATTGAATTAGAAGGTTTTTTTTTAACTGTTTTAACATCTTTTTCAATGTTTAAACAAAAATTTTCATTCAGTCTTAGCACCTTATAAAAGGTTACAATTATAATAGTATACAAAGTGTACTATTACATGAAATTAAAATGAAGAAGGTATGGGTTTCAGAGGAAGCAGAACTAGTATTCAGGGCCTTTCTTGGGCTAGGCAAATACTTTACACTGACTTATGCTCATCTCCCCTCTTCTCCCTTTTTTTTTTTTTTTTAATGAGGCCTTACTGTGTAGCCAAGGGTGGATTTCTTTCAACTTTTGATCTTGAATTTGCTTCCCAAGTTCTGGGCTTCCAGGAAAGCACCACATCATGCTTGGTTTATAGAGTTGTTTGGAATTGAAGCCAGGGTGATATGTGTGGTTGACAGCCACTCTGACAGTGGAGCAGCACTCCCAGCCTCTAAGCAACTTTAAGAAAGTGTTTTCTAAAAGATGTAAGAAGTGTAATATTTTTGAAATGAACTTCCTTAGTAAAATATTCTTTCTAAAAAGAAGTAGGGTAAGATTCTTCAAATATATTTACTGTTTGTGTGTTTTTACAAAAGTTAGTTAAATCTTAATAAAATTTGCTCTATTTGGGCCTGTAAAAGATGTCTTACTGGTTAAGAGCATTGATTGTTCTTCCAGAAGACCTGGATTTGGTTCCCAACACCCACATGGCAGCTCACAACTGCCTGTAAATCCAGTTCCAGAGGGTCTAATGCTTTCCCATGGCCTCATTGGGTATTGCATGTGTGTGATGCACAGACACATTTAGGCAAAGCACCCAGGCACATGAAATAAAAATGAAACCTCAAAAAAATTTCCCTCAGTTCAAGAAGAGAACCTGAGTTGTGTTGGCTTACACCTATAGTCTCAGCACTTGGAAAGTTGAGACAGGAGGATTCCCATGAGATTGAAGGTAGCCTAACCAATATATAAGTTTCAGGATAGCCTACACATAATAATTTGCTCACTTGGTTATTGTGATTAGTAAGATAGATAGTTGTCACATATGAAATAGAAGTCTAAAGGAAGCAAACCGATAAAAGTTGGTTTACTACTATTGACATCTTTGGTTCAAATAGCGTAGCTAGCTATTTTATTTATTTTTTACTTATTTTGTTTTTGAGACAGGATATCTCTGTGTATCCCTGGCTGTCCTGGAACTCAGTCTGTAGACATAGTTAGCCTCGAACTCAGATCCAACTGCCTCTTCCTCACGAGTGCTGAGATTTAAATAAGTGAGCCACCATTACCCAGCAGCTTTTTTATTTTTTAAAGTAGAGAATTTTAGTCATGGAACATGAGATTTTTGAAAACATGAATCTAAGAATGATTGGCTTTAACCATATATAACATAATTCTTTTCCTAAATTATTAATACGACTACTGCATTTTTCTGTCATAGAAAGTTGCTCTATGGAGTAAATGAAATTGCTGTGAAAGTGCCTTCTGTTTTTAAGCTTCTAATTAAAGAGGTAAGTTTTTGTATATAACTCAGCAGACAGTAGATCCATCAGTTTGGAAAGAGTCATGTTTAAGAAGCTGTTCTTAGTTTTCTGCTTCTTTGCTTCATATTTTACTTGGAAAGTAAAAATTGAAAAAATTGTTGTCTGGTAGAAGAGGAATGAGTATACATTTTTTATTGTATAGATTCCCGTTTGTGTCTCTCATCTACATTGTGTCCTGTCAAAGTGTATGTGACTTCTTGCTCCCTTGCTCCTTTCACTTCACATAGCATAGGACTGGAAACGTGAAGAGACATTTGTATGTGGTCTGAGAGGAACCATGTTAGTTCCTGCAGTGAGGATTCATTTATAACTGTCTAGGCTGTGTGAATAAAAGGTTAGAAATATGTATGGGAAGTTGGTGAGTAACTGCCTGGCAGAAAGACTTGCCAATCTTTGTTCAGGTTTTGGCTATAGATAAAAAGTAGTATTGGGTGGATACTTTACTAGAAATAATGATTGTTTCCCACCACTTTCTTAGAGTAGCCATTTGATGCTGCCTGTAAGCATAGTTTCATGTATGATTAAGATATTTAGGAAGCCTCATGGTTTGAGAGTATCTTATTAAGCAGCTGTCTTTGATTTTTTTTTTTAAAAAAAAGAAAACACTTCTACCTTCTACTTCTTGTATTGATAAAGTTGGAATCATTTCTTAATATTTCATTTGGGTTTGAAGTAAAATGGTTCTTTAAACATGAAAATGCTTTGAAAAGCACAAAATCAACAGTTGAAAGACATTGGGAAGTAATTAAGAAAGATGAAAATACCATTTCATAAACCTCATTACCAGGGCTTTCTAGTCTTACTTTTATTCACGATTAAATCCTGAGAAGTTCCCTTTGAGAGAGCAAAGCAGTTTGCCCATTACCACATATTATTTTTTCTTTGTATGCCAATGAACTTTTAGAACATAAGTGAAGGTTTGTTTTGTTTTGTTTTGTTTTGTTTTGTTTTGTTTTGTTTTGTTTTTCGAGACAGGGTTTCTTTGCGTAGCCCTGGCTGTCCTGGAACTCACTCTGTAGACCAGGCTGGCCTCGAACTCAGAAATCCACCTGCCTCTGCCTCCCAAGTGCTGGGATTAAAGGTGTGCGCTACCACTGCCCGGCAAGTGAAGTTTTTATTGTATCTTCTTTAAAGGAAACATTTGTTGTTTGAGTAGAAGTTTTATAATTTGGCCCAGAGTATAGAATTTGTTACAAATAAATTTACTTTAAGAAAATATGATGCAGAACACTGAAATTCATACAGGTTAGCTTTTTCTGGTATGGCTTGAAATTAATGTAAATTATTTAAGCTTATTGGATTAAGTTTTAGTGTTCAGTGGGAAGAAAGAGTACAGAGCACATCCTTTAAGAACCTGGTTGTTGGGGCTGGTAAGATGGCTCAGCGGTTAAGAGCACTGACTGGTCTTCCAGAGGCCATGAGTTCAAATCCCAGCAACCACATGGTGGCTCACAACCATCTGTAATGGGATTCGATGCCCTCTTATGGGGTGTCTAAAGACAGCTACAGTGTATTTACATACAATAAATACAATAAAAAACAAAAAAAGAACCTGGTTGTTGACTTGTCCAGTATATAGTGGGGAATCCGTATGTTTATACATCCTCTCCCATTGTTGATGGAGCTTTCTTTTTTTTTTTTTTTCTTATTAGGTTCTCAACCCATTTTACATTTTCCAGCTGTTCAGTGTTGTCCTGTGGAGCATTGATGAATACTATTACTATGCTCTAGCCATTGTGATTATGTCCATAGTGTCCATTCTAAGTTCACTATACTCCATTAGAAAGGTAAGTCAAAATTTACTACATATTTTAGAAATATATTTGCACTTTTAATAACTTGCAAGGTTTGTAGAATGAATAGTACTCAGTACAAAGTACATTTTTTGTTGTATTTGTCTAAGTACACATACACACTTCCTCCCTTTTGTTTGTTGAAACAAGGTAGCTAAGAGTGGCTTTTAACTAATCCTCCTGCTTTCTGCTTGACCTTTTGACATTTAAAAAAATATATGTACTAGTGTTTTGCCTGCATTTCCATCAGTGCACCACATGTGTGCCTAGAAGACAAGGCAGTGTTTGTAACCATTGAGTTATGTCTTTAGTCTTGGCTTTTTTTTTTTTTAATAAACAGAATCAAATGTCTTTTATTTTTTTATGGTACTGGAATTTGAACCTTAAACTTTACATATGCTCACTAAGTTGCACTCTGAGACATGTTTTTAGAGGAAAATCACCACATGCTTATTCAGAAACTATAGGCATCTGTATTTGCCCACTAAAGACTGTAGTGTTGAAAGGGTGGGTCCACTGTTCTCAAGGCTGCCTCATTTAAAGTGCTTTTTTGTTTTGATCCTCGTTTTGGGAATGAGGATGGATGTGTTCACATGTAAGAGTCCAGTTGTGCCCAGAGGCCCCAGTTTGATGCTGAGGTTTTCTTTCTTTCTTTTTTTTTGTTTTTTTTTTTTTTTTTGTTTTTTTGAGACAGGGTTTCTCTGTGTAGCCCTGGCTGTCCTGGAACTCACTCTGTAGACCAGGCTGGCCTCGAACTCAGAGATCCACCTGCCTCTGCCTCCCAAGTGCTGGGATCAAAGGCGTGCGCCACCACCGCCCAGCTTGATACTGAGTTTTTCTTGGATTGTTCTCTACCTTATTTATTGAGGCAGGGTCTCAGTTGAACTCAGTGCTCACGCATTGAACGAATTCAGTTAGCCGTCTTGGTCTAGGAATCTCACTCTTTTGCTTCTTGTACTGGAATTACAGGCAAGTTGCAACGCCTGTTTGTTGTTCACAAGAGTGCTCAGATCTGAACTTGAGTAGTATCTTAGTTAGGGTGTCTATTACTGTGAAGAGACACCATGACAACAGCAGCTCTTGCAAAGGAAAACATTTAATTAGGCTGCCTTGCAGTTCAGAAGTTTAGTCCATTGTCAAGGCTGGAAGCTTGGTGGCATGCAGGCAGACACAGGAGAGTTCTACACCTGGATCTGCAGGCAGCAGGAAGAGAATGACTATGCCTGGCTTGAAAGTCTTAAAACCTCGAACCCCACCCCCAGTGACACACTTCCTCCAACAAGGCCACAACTCTTAATATGGCCTATGGGTCCATTTTCATTCAAACCACAAGTAGTAAGTCTCTCAACCACTGAGTCATTCCCCCATCCTATTGCTTTTCACCTTTTATATAGGCAGAACAATAAAAAAGTGATCACAGTAATTAAGCTTTTCCTTTTTTTTCCTTTTTCTTTCTGAAGAGTGGGTTTGTATTTATTAGTTTTTATTTCTTTTTTCTTTCAGCAATATGTTATGTTACATGACATGGTGGCAACTCACAGTACTGTGAGAGTGTCAGTCTGTAGAGTAAATGAAGGTAAGTACTTCTAATGAGGGCTGAAAGTCTAAGTGAACAACACCAAACATCCCAGTAAGTGCTCAGATGTAAAGCAAGACCATGTGTGCATACGTGTCTTATTTTTAAATTGCATTTATTTATTGTATGCGTGCTTAAACCATATGTATTGAGATCAGAGGACCACCCATGGGAATCACTTATCTTTCTACCACATGGGTCCTGGTTTATCAGAGAGTAATACTGAAAGGATGACCTGGATCAAGAACAGGGTTGTAGAACCAGCAAATTGTGGAAGTGCAAAAAAGAGGAGTCTCACGAGACCTACACACCTGGATAGATGGATATTGGTGTTGTTGACATGGGGCATGGTAAAAGGGAAACTGTCACTGTAGGAATGAGAATGCTTAGACATACGATCTGAGATGATGACATAAAGGACAGACAGTATAGTAGCATGCTCTCTGGAGGCAGGCTACTTCCATTTCCCCATTTTCATATATTCTCAGCATTCTTCTCCCCTGCCCCTGATTGTCCCTTCCTGCCTTCCTGGAGTAGATTGCTAAATTTAGCAACTCTGGCTTCCTAAGAGCTAGGATTCTAGGTATGGGATTCTAGATATGGACCGTGCATGCCCTCAGGCACCATTTTGTTGCCTGTATCCAAGTGATTACTTCCTTCCCAGTCACTTCCTTCTCTCACCAGAATCTCCCACACTTGCTGCCATCTTAGTATTTTGGTAGGATTATTTGATTGTTTTGTTCTGGAGGGGTGTGTGTGTGTTGTTTCTGTATTCTAACAGCATAGGCTGGCCTAGTCCTTGGTATATAGCTAAGTAGGATGACCTTGAACCTCTGATCCTGTTGTATCAACTCTGGGATTACTAGAGCCCAATAGTATTTGGTGTTTTTTTTTCAGGCAAGGGGCACCTACATGCACAGAGACCTGAGAAGGATCTTACCAGGCTGGCCTCACCTCAAATTCACAATTTTGCTTTTCTTTTTTCTTTTAAAGATTTATTTATTTATTTACTTACTTACTTACTTACTTACTTACTTATATGCCTGCATGTGCATTTGCACACCAGAAGAGGGCACTGGATCCCATGGGACCACAGCTAGAATGGTTGTGAGCCACTATGTGGGTGCTGGGAATTGAACTCAGGACCTCTGGAAGAGAAGCCACTCCTTGTAACCACTGAGCCATCTCTCTAGCCCCATGATTTTGCTTTTTTAGCCTTTCAAATACTGGGATTTCAATGCCTGTTTTAAATTTTCAAGAAGACAATTAAGTAATGTTGTATACTTAACATTCAGTTTGCTGTATTTTAATTTCAAAGACTAAAATGTAGTGAGAAGGGATGAGAGGTAATTGCAATGAAGAAAGAATACCTTTGGCAAGGAAATATTGGTATATTTTATGTGTTTTCTTTAGTTTTGGTAGAATTGGAGAAATCTCAATTTATTTTGCTTATTCATCAGAACTTCCTCTGTGAACTTATGCTCCTATTTTAAGGTGGCTGACAGTCAAAATTGATGATTGACAGGAGCATGGGCTTGTGATGAGGAATTTATCACCTATGCTTAGTCAGCGTGCTGTCAGGAGACAAGCTAGCTGACAAATCTCAATGCCTGGTGCCTATGGAGGCCAGAAGAGGGTGTCAGATCTCTAGAGTTACAGATAATTGTGAACCTAGGTCTTCTAGGAAAACAGCCAATGCTCTTAACTGCTGAGCCATCTCTTTAGCCCTGATGCTTTGTTAATGTATAGTCCTATTTGTTGAGACACTCTATGTGATACTCTACTGAAGCAGTATCTTACTTAGAGCAAGAAGCTTGGATAGGTCATTTGTTTACTTGCTGTACTTTTGTTACAAATTAAAGATAATTTTTAACTTTTTTTCAAATTCAGAAATAGAAGAGATCTTTTCTACAGACCTTGTGCCGGGAGATGTCATGATCATTCCATTAAATGGGACAGTCATGCCTTGTGATGCAGTACTTATTAATGGTACTTGCATTGTAAATGAAAGCATGTTAACAGGTAAAAATCGGCAATATCATGCTCATTGTTTATGATGGTATTAAAATTAAGTACTTCAAACTTTTTCAAAATCATAATCATTTGCTCATAAGTGTTATGGGTGTGGTTTTTGTATATGTGAGTAGACTGCATTCTAGTCTGAAAACCGTAGTCCTGAATCACTTCTGGAATTGACCATATTCCTAGACCTGCTTCTTGTCACTCCTTGGACATGGGGAAATGGTTTATAGTAAGAGAAGAGGAAAGAAGGCCTTTGTCTACAGAGACAAATAATGCATTTGCTTTTGTATGAATTATGTGAAAAATGGGAATAAATCAAGATTTTTTTTTTAATTTTTAATTGGGAAGAAGTAGACTTTAACTCAGCTGGAAAGCCATAATCTAGAAGTGGATCTTTCTGACTTTTAAATTGTGATCTCTTTTCATTATCATAATCTGACTAGAAATTATTTCCTGCATGGTATATTTTGAGGCTTAAAGCACACAATGTCACACATGTATTTTCTACACTCTTGTCTTTGAAGAAGAGTGAATGCTATAGAGAATTAACCTCATACTCATTTCTTTCTTTTTTGCTCAAGTTTTCTGTTTCTGTGGTATATGTCTATATTGTGTCTTTCTGTCTAGTGGAAGTTAAAGATAACATGACGTCACCAGATTCTGAAAGTAACAGAACTTTTAAATTCTGTTAAGGATGTATTCTTTAGTCTTTGGAATTATTTGAGGGTCAATACAAACAATTTTCAAATAATGGCAGGCATTTCTAAATTATGAATAACTCTCTGGAATTACTGTGGGAAACAGCTTTATTTCTCAGTGAACCAATTGATGGACAAAAGGCTGATTTATTCACTGTTATCCATATGTAGAGCAGTTACTGTATGCAATACTTACTGTTAATAATTAAATTTCACCATTTTTTCAGTATGTATTTGACATTGATTTCTAAGGTAACTTTTAAAACTTGATTTTTCATACTAGGAGAAAGTGTTCCAGTGACAAAGACTAATTTGCCAAATCCTTCAGTGGATGTGAAAGGAGTGGGGGAGGAGCAGTACAGTCCAGACACACACAAGCGGCACACTCTGTTCTGTGGGACGACTGTTATTCAGACCCGTTTCTACACTGGAGAACTTGTGAAAGCCATAGTAGTTAGAACAGGTAGTTAAAGTCTCTTTTGAGTTTGAAATCTAATAGATGTTTATAAAGGCAGTCTGGTTAGTGAGGTAAATTCTTATAAAAAGATAAATTGTTGTCTTTTATTTTTTTGAAAGGATTTAGTACTTCCAAAGGACAGCTTGTTCGTTCTATACTGTATCCCAAGCCAACTGACTTTAAACTCTACAGAGATGCCTACTTGTTCCTGCTGTGTCTTGTGGTGGTGGCCGGGATTGGATTTATCTACACAATCATCAATAGCATCCTAAATGAGGTATGTAACTTTTGGAAGGTTTAGTCCTTAATTATTTCTCATGTGGCTGAAGTTAATATTAATTCTGAAGAAAACATGACACTACTATCTATTAGAAAGCAAAATATATTGGGTGGCATAGGCGGGAAAATGGGAAGTTCTAGGCCAGCCTGGAATATAATATATATGTCTGCTGCTTTCCTTTATGTGATGTGAAACATGCACCAAAAACCTTTTCTTATTTGTGGGATAAAGTAAAATAATATATACAAAAACTTGTTTCAAGCTATGTTGTCCTGTTCCTAACTCTACCTCTGGGGTGCTGCAATTACTAAAATTATTTTTTTTAAACATTTAATTGAAGGCACTTGTAAAAGAGGATGTCTGATTATTTTTTTCTAGCTTCTGTGGACACTTGCCCTGATGCTTGTAGGATGGGACAGTATCAGATCGGTACCTTGATTTGAAGGTGCCATGATGCAAAGAACGCAGACTGTTAAAATGAGACAAGTACTTCAGCTCTTAGCTCTCCTTTAGTTGCTAGTGTCGTAGTCATTGGATAGCTCATTGAAACATCTCTTTGTTAAGAGTTTCCACTCCCCTCCAACACTGGGGTTTGAACCAAGGGCCTCAAACGTTCTAGGCAAGCATTTATATGACTTTTATATAATCTTTGAATGAAAAAAAGCTATATCAATAATAGATGAGTATATGTACTTAAAAATATTTTTAATGAAATCAGTAATTGAATATTGTGAGTTTAATGTTTATTTTTATTTTGATTGTAGAAAGAAGTTAAGGAAATAATTATTAAGTCTCTTGATATCATTACAATTACTGTGCCACCTGCTCTTCCTGCTGCAATGACTGCTGGGATTGTGTATGCTCAGAGAAGACTGAAAAAAGTTGGGATTTTCTGTATTAGTCCCCAGAGGATAAACATCTGTGGACAGCTGAATCTTGTTTGCTTTGACAAGGTTGGTTTGTTTCATAATTGTTACAGCAGTACTTATGTTTGTGATTTTTTTTATGAGTTAATTTGCCCTTTTAATATTTCTGTAGTTTTCCTATTTCTCACTTAGTTACATATTCAGATTTTGAAATATTTTTCTCTTCCCTCTCACTCTCCTCCCAGTTGAAACAGGTTTTCACTATATAGCACTGACTGGATTAGAATTCATTTGTATAGACTAGGCTGGCCTCAAACTGACAGAATCTACCTTCCTCTGCTATCCCAGAGTACTGGGATTAAAGGCATGTTGTATCACCTGGCCCCCTTCTTAGCTAGCTAGCTAGCTAGCTTGCTTGCTTGCTTGCTTGCTTGCTTTATTTATTTATTTATTTATTTATTTATTTAGCTCTCAAGTGTTTTGCGTACATCTTGGTCTATACAACATGTGTGTACAGTTCCCATAGGCAAAAAAAGGGTGTCAGATCCTTGAAACTGTAGTTGCAGAGGATTGTGAGCCACAACATAGGTGCTGGGAGTTGATACCTGGTCCTGTGGAAGGAACAGTTGCCTTTTGTTCTTTCCCATCTCTCTAGCTTCCTTCCTCAACCTTTTTTTTTTTTTTTAATTTTCTTTTTTTTCCATTTCCAATTTTTTTTTAATGTTAATCAAAGGCTTTATAAGTTTTGGTAATGCTCAATAACAAGATGCCCATACAGTCAGAACCCAGTACCCAACCTAGATATACCAACTACCTTTGACTGGCAGAGACATGCAAACATCTGCCTCCATGCCTCCCCCCACCCCCATCTCCTAGCTCCTCCTCTCCTCCTCTCCTTACTCCTCCTACCTTAGCTCCTCCTACATATCCTTCTTGTTAAAATTAAAAAACAAAAACTTTTCTCTCAAAATACAATTAGAGCATAACTATACCAATTTGTGTCAGTAAGGTACAAGATAGACCTAAAACCCAGTCCATCATTTTGTTGGCTAAACAGAACCTCTGTCATCTCTCCTAAAAGACTTAGTTCTGAACCTGGCTTTTTTTCTTGACTTTAGAATGAATGTTATCTGAAAACCATTCTCTCAAATCTTTTCTCTCAAAATAAATAGCCGGGATTGGCTATGAGACTATAAGTCTTCAACCTCATCAGAAATCCAGAATGACTGAATTAACTGAAATTATGGGAGGCACAAAGCATAGCTTCTAAAACATAGCCAATTTATAGAGACCGCTGAACACATGGACAGTCCCTATACTATAAAATGTTGGGGGATCCGATCTTCAGCCTTCTGGCCCAGGATCATCTGACAGACCTAGTGATGCAGAATTATAAGGGCTGATTACTCTGTCATGGCAGATATAATTAGTCAACTATTCCGCAAGTGTGTCCTTTTCTGGACAGTAATTTGTCTGTAGATGAAAAGAGGCAATTCTTGCCTAGTGGTTATCTCAGCGCAACTGGAATAACTCCAAAGATGTTCAATTTCTTCTTAGAATCCAAGATAAGGAAGCTGTCAGAAGCAGACAGGTCTCTAATCAAAATGAACATTAATACAGAAATGTTTGTAATTCTGTGGATTTCTGACGTTTTGAAAACCAACTATCCATGTAAGGCAATCTGGACTGCTGTCTGTTAGCTCCTCTCAACTATTTCTAAATAAAATACAGAAAACACCCTAAAATAAACTCAGAGCCATGAATTTGCTATTGGTCCTTAACTCACAGGCTAACCATCTGAAATCAGTTAAAAAAGTTAAAGAAGGACTGGGCCTAAGCCTTGTATTCCTAAATGTGTTACATAGGCACAATGCCTATGAGAGTAACAGTATTAATCTCACTTTTATATCAATAAGAAACTCGTACCAGGGGCTGGAGAGATGGCTCAGTGGTTAAGAGCACTGACTGCTCTTCCAGAGGTCCTGAGTTCAATTCCCAGCAACCACATGGTGGCTCACAACCATCTGTAATGTGATCTGATGCCCTCTTCTGGTGTGTCTGAAGACAGCTACAGTGTACTCACAATAAAATAAATAAATCTTTTAAAAAAAAAAAAAAAAAAAAAAAAAAAAAAAAAAGAAACTCGTACCAATGAAAACCTTAAATTTGGAATCAAAGTAAATTTTGTACCATTTAAGAAATTATAACTTCAGCTTAATAACAATTATACAGACTTCTACCAATAGGTTATGGCTATGCAATAAATCCTAGCTATTCCTCCCTGTTCCAACAAAACCACTACTTTCCCCTAGAAAGACAGCCCAATAGTAACCACCTCAGTTCCCAAGCCCAGGTAATAGGGGTGCCGACTCTTCATTAACTTCTTCAAACTGATTACGGGCATTGAGACATTAGAAGAGGGCGGGGGGGAAGAGTAAATTGATAAGCCTCTGACATCTGTGTCTTCACTGCATCCAGCTGAGATTCCAGGACATCAGAGGTTTGAGCAGGTCTGTTCAGCTTGCTCGATGAGTTAGATGCACCAAGGCTGTGTATTCTGCAATATACAATTCTCAAGACAAATTTTAGTATCAAGATAATTTTTTGTTTGAATTCTGGAATCTAGTTTTCTGGCGGCCTGCCTCTATCATGTCTAATCCATATAATTCTGGGAGTTACTATGAGGATGTGCTCCCACCATCCTCCCATTCCCACCTTCCTGCTCTCGAATTCCCCAACACTAGGGAATCTTTGAGGCACCAAGGCCCTCCACTTCCACTGATGCCTGACAAGGCCACCCTCAACTACCTATACAGGTGGAGCCATGAGTCCCTCCCTTTGTGTTCTCGGGCTGTAGAATGGCTACTCCAGCTTGTTTCTTAGGACCATTTGCTTGAAAAATTGTTTTCCAGCCTTATTCTCTAAGGTAATGTCTGTCTTTGTTACTGAGGTGGGTTTCCTGTATGCAGCAAAATGCTGGGTCCTGTTTATGTATCCAGTCTGTTAGCCTATGTCTTTTTATTGGGGAATTGATGTTAAGAGATATTAAGGAACAGTGATTGTTGCTTCCTGTTATTTTTGTTACTAAAGGTGGAATTATCTTTGTGTGGCTATCTTCTTTTGGATTTGTTGGAAGAGGATTACTTTCTTACTCTTTCTAGGGTATAATTTCCCTCCTTGTATTGGAGCTTTCGTACTATTATCCTTTGTAATGCTGGGTTTGTGGAAAGATATTGTATAAATTTGGTTTTGTCCTGGAATATCTTGGTTTCTCCATCTATAGTAATTGAGAGTTTTGCTGGGTACAGTAGCCTGGGCTGGCATTTGTGTTCTCTTAGGGTCTATATGACATCTGTCTAGGATCTTGCTTTTGTAGTATCTGGTGAGAAGTCTGGTATAATTCTGATAGGTCTGCCTTTATATGTTACTTGGCCTTTTTCCCTTACTGCATTTAATATTCTTTCCTTGTTTTGTACATTTGGTGTTTTGATTACTATGTGAGTGATGGAAGGTATTTCTTTTCTGGTCTAGTCTATTTGGTGTTCTGTAGACTTCTTGTATGTTTATGGGCATCTCATTCTTTAGGTTAGGGAAGTTTTCTTCTATAATTTTGTTGAAGATGTTTACTGGTCCTTTAAGTTGGGAATCTTCACTCTCATCTATACCTATTATCCTTAGGTTTGGTCTTCTCATTGTGTCCTGGATTTCCTGGATGTTTTGGGTTAGGAGTTTTTTGCATTTTGCGTTTTCTTTGACAGCTGTGTCAATATTTTCTATGGTATCTTCTGCACCTGAGATTCTCTCCTCTGTCTCTTGTATTCTGTTGGTGATACTTGTGTCTATGACTCCTGATTTCTTTCCTAGGTTTTCTATCTCCAGGGTAGTCTCCCTTTGTGATTTCTTTATTGTTTCTACTTCTATTTTTATGTCCTGGATGGTTTTGTTAAATTCCTTCACCTGTTTGGATGTGTTCTCTTGTAATTCTTTAAGGGATTTTTGTGTTTTCTCTTTAAGGGCTTCTACCTTTTTACCTATGTTCTCCTTAAATTCTTTGAGAGTGTTATTTATGTCCTTCTTAAAGTCCTCTATCATCGTCATTAGAAGTGGCTTTAGATCTGGCTCTTGCTTTCCTGGTGATATGGGGAGTTCAGGACTTTCTAGTGTGGGAGAACTAGGTTCTAATGATGCCAAGTACCCTGGGTTGCTGGTGCTTATGTTCTTGCGCTTGCCTTTTGCCATCTGGATCACCTTAGTGCTACCTGCCCTGTTTCTGACTGGAGCCTGTCTTTACTATTATCTTGGTTGTGTCAGAACTGTGTGGGGTCAGTGTTACTACTGGGGTTAGAACTGGGACCCAAGATCTGCTCAGACGAGAAGGAACCAGTGCCCCAGCTAGGAGTGAATTCTTGGATCCTAGTGGGTCCCAGTTACTCTCTGTACAACTCGGGTGTTGCTGTCTCCTTACCTAAGATACTGCCCAGGTTAGAGCTCCTGGGAGGCCTGCTTCCTCTGGGTTTTGTGAGATTGGGTGCAGAGCTGCTGCCCGGGATCTGCTCAGTGCTCGGGTGCAGACTGGAAGGAGGCCTCAGCCTTTTCTTAGTGACCACTCAATCACTTGAGTGTCTCTTATTACTTATTTATCTAGATCTGCAAATTTGTGTTTGTGTTCAGTCTTAACAGCAAGTCATGGAAACATGGCTGTAGTTTTTAGCATATGGGAAAGTGAGATAGAATGATAGCTTGAGCTTGCAAGTTCTAGGCCCTCTGGGCAGTATAGTCTCTACCTCAAAGGAAAAAAAGTTTAATATTTGTTAACAATAAAATGTAAGATACATGGGTGCTGGAGAGGCAACTCAGTTGTTAAGAGGATTGACTGCTCTTGCAGAGCAGCTGAGTTTGATTCATAATCATCCATATAGCACCTCACAACCTTCTATGACTACAGGTCCAGGGAATCTGGTGCCCTCTTAGGGTTTCCATGGGCACCAGGCATGCACAGGATGAACAAATATGGATGAAGTCAAAACACCCATACACATAAAAGATTCAAAAATTTTTAATGAATTAAAGATATAGTGGCAATAACTAAAAATTGTGTGTTTTTTGGTGTTTTTAGGTGATTCTGATTTAATAGAATAAACATGGATATATATTTTACTATGATTTTTTAATTATCCATAAGTATATATATTTAATGTTATGTGATTTTATTGAATCCTCACAATTCGTTGAAGAAAATCGCTCTTTTTTTTTTTCTTTTTTTTTTAAATGTGGGTTTGACTAGTACCTCTCTTCTGGTATTTAAATTTTTCCTTGCCTCCTTTATCCCTAGTCTGTTCTACCATTATTCCTCCTACCAGTATATAGAGACTTCCTGTTGGTTGATTGGTAGGTAGATTGACTGGTGCATTTTGTGTCTGTACATGAGTATAGTCAATATAGGTAGGTGCCCTCTTGTACTTGAAAGAGTCCTAGTGCAGATACTGTTGTCTCACTGTAGTTGTGTCCTGAAGGTCATTCTCTAGCAGTGTATGTGTAGCTGTTACTGATTTGGGTCTTGGCATTTTATTTTTGTGAGGTATTGTCCTTACTTTGTGCATGCGTACTTTTTTTTTTTAGACTGGAACTCTTACCGAAGATGGTTTAGATCTGTGGGGAATTCAGCGAGTGGAAAATACCCGGTAAATACCAGCTAGATTTTATAGATGATTAGTCTAGTTCATTTTTAACATTTTAGCATATTCAACACTTAAACATAATAGACAACTATGTATCTACCACTTTGAGTAAACAGTGGATATTTTTCTATGTATATTTCAGATGTTTATTTTAAAAATTGTGTGTATGTGTGTGTGCACATGTTTGTTTGTATGTATGTATGTATGTGTGCGTGCACGCGCTTTTAGTCAGAGCACAACTTGTAGGGTGTGTTAGGATGTTGGCTTGAATCTAGAGATTTGTGATCCTAATTCAATGTGCATTCTCTGTTTAGATTCCTTTTACCAGAAGACAATGTTTGTAGTGAGATGTTGGTAAAATCTCAATTTGTTGCTTGTATGGCTACTTGTCATTCACTTACAAAAATCGAAGGGGTTCTTTCTGGTGATCCACTTGATTTAAAAATGTTTGAAGCCATTGGATGGGTAAGTTTACCCTTTTTTTTTTAAAAAAAATATTTTTTAAAAATTTTTTATGTGCATTGGTGTTTTGCCTGCATATATATATGTGAGGGTATCTGATCCTCTGGAACTGGAATTACAGACAGTTAACTGCCATGTGGGTACTTGGGAATTGAACCCCTGTCCTTTGGAAGAGCATGTCTGCTGAGCCATCTCTTCAGCCCCATGGCCAACTTTTGTGGTTTTTGTTTTGATACAAGGTTTTGTATAGCCTAGGCTCACCATAAACAGCTGTAGAGCCAAGCTGTCCTGCCTTTACGTCTCAAGGACTCAAATGAGTCCTTTCATTCTGTTTTTGTGGTGCTAGGCTGTATCTTCAGCAGTGGCTTCTCCAGCTTTTTTCCCAAGGCTTTAGCTCTGACACAGAGCCAAACCTCAGCCTCTCCCTGACCCCATTCATTCCTTCAAAACAAGAACCCTTAAATGAGTTAAGAAGTTACTAGGTTTGGGTGTCAGCATGAGATGCAGCAGTAGCTACCCCGAACTACACTTTGTGCTGACCCAGAGAAATAATCCCAGCAGTTTTCACCTTAGTGATTCTGGTCTTGAGGCAGGATTTATCTGTGTAGGCCTGGCTGTCCTGGAACCTGCTCTATAGACCATTCTGGCCTCAAACTCACAAAGATCTCCTGCTTCTGCCTTCCTAGTGTTGGGATTAAAGGCGTGTGCCACCACTGTTGGCCACCAGAATTTTTTTTTAATCTCTGCTAATTCCTCAGCCCCAGCCTCTGCTTCCTGAGCCATGGGATTAAGGCAAGTGCCACTATGACTGGCTTCAGCCTGTTTTCTTCACTTTCCCAGGGATAGGAGCTAGGTCCACCCACATCAATCATTAATCAAGAAAATGCCCCAAGTCTGATGGGGGCATTTTCTTAGTTGACTTAAACCTGACTTAAAACTTACTGTAGGACAGGACAGTAAAGATACATCCCAATTTCTGAGATGATCAGATACGGGAAACTGTTTTGGAATTGTTTAGATTTAATTGTATAATTGTATATAATTGCTTTTACTTCAGCCTGTTTTGGATTTGGTGGTGTGTTCGTGCATTTTTTTTCTTTACTCTTACTACTTTAAGTTGTTTTATATATGGGAGGGGGAGGGAGATGGGTAGAGAAAGAGAGGGAAAGAGAGAGAACTGAGAATTCATGCACTTGGACTTCACATGGAAGATGACAGTAGACAGTTTTTGGTAGCTGGTTTTCTTCTACCACTATAGGAATCTCAAGATCACAATGAAATAGCAAGCATCTTCAACTGCTGAGTCATCTTTCCTAGAAAAATAAAATTTCAAGAGCTAGAGAGATGGTTCAGTGCTTAAGAGAATGAGCTGTGCTTGCAGAGGACTAGGGTTCAGTTCCCGGCAGGACATGGCAGCTTAGAGGTATCCATAACTCCAGCCCCAGGGAATTCCATGCCCTCTCCTGGTCTAGGTTGGCATCAGGTACCCATATATACCCATATACATCAAATAAATTTTTTTAAAAGTGAAAATCAACAGTTTCTGACTATAGTAACTTAAGTAAAATATGATTGCATGGCATATCTCTAAAGTCACATTTTCTACTTAGTGGTTCTATTAATCGTATCTGAATTCAGTTTATGGCTTGAGAAAAGCTTTCATGAAGTCCAGATTGACCTCAAGCTCACTATATACATAGACTGTCATTAAACTCCTGATTCTTTTGCTTCATGTCTTCTGAGTACACTTGTGCATACACACACCCTGGTATCATTCGTTGGCAGAAAAGAAATCACAGTATTATAGGCTAAAAGTACTTACGAGTAACAGCCATGTGTGTTGCCATGCGTGTGTACACTTTATTCTCCTAAGTTTCTTCTCTCCTTACCCAAAGGTTGCCGGGTATTTTAGTAGCTATTTCTATGTTTTTTGTTAAAAATATATTTATGTTAATAATTTAGTGTTGACATGTATTTTGATAGCAATTTTTTTAATAGTTCACTTAAAAATGAAACATCTGGAATTTTTGTGATGTGTTAAGCGTTTTCTTTTTAGATTCTGGAAGAAGCAACTGAAGAAGAAACAGCACTTCATAACCGTATCATGCCTACTGTGGTTCGTCCTTCCAAACAACTGCTTCCTGAGTCTACAACTGCAGGAAACCAAGAAATGGTACAGTGTCACCCAATCCTGGATAACATAGTGGCTGCTTGCCTTTAATTCTAGTTTAGAAATATCACTAGAAGAAGAAATTAGGGAGGTTATCCCGATGTGCTAAGGCATTCTCTGTAAACTGTTGAGATTTAATTCTGCCATTGTGTTCCTTTCCTATTTACACATGTAACAGTTAATCTTTCTAGTATACATTCTGTTCCTAGAATTGCAAACAAAGAGTTTATAAAAAGGCACTCTTTTGGTTTTTTGAGACAGGGTTTCTCTGTGTAGCCCTGGCTGTCCTGGAACTCACTCCTCACTCTGTAGACCAGGCTGGTCTTGAACTCAGAAGTCCGCCTGACCCTGCTTCCCAAGTGCTGGGATTAAAGGCATGCGCCACCACAGCCCAGCATAAAAAGGCACTCTTACTAGTTTTATTTTTAAATAAAATTTAGTGTTCCTCTCATTTATTTTAGCATTTAATGTGCCAACATTTTTTGTTGGTGGTGGTGGTGGTTTTTTTTTTTTTTTTTTTTTTTTTTTTGGTTTTTTTGGTTTTTTGAGACAGGGTTTCTCTGTGTAGTCCTGGCTGTCCTGGACTCTGTAGACCAGGCTGGCCTCAAACTCAGATATCCACCTGCCTCTGCCTCCCAAGTGCTGGGATTATTAAAGGCGTGCACCACCACCACCCGGCTAATGTGCCAACATTTTTATGATACCAGAATATTGGAAATGTTGAATACCATTTCCCACCCCCCACCCCCACCCCCACCTTCCCACTAGGCATTGAACTCTTTGCCTTCTGATTTCTGGCCTGGTGGGTCACCCCATGGTTACACCATGGCTGTGCACCTTTTTCTGTGGGAGCTGCTACAGTAACTTAAATACTTAAAGTCACTTATTATTTTCTAAGTGAAATTTGTAGATGTTTTAGGTTTTCTAGCTGATGCATATTAATCTGTACTTTATTCTCTTGTCTTTAGGAGCTGTTTGAACTTCCAGTAAGTGAAGAATGCTTTCTTTTTAGATAAGTACATTGCTTTTATTCTTAAAGAGTAATAAATCTTTTGTATGCATTTTTGAAATTAAATAGGCTATTTATGAGATAGGAATTGTTCGCCAGTTTCCATTTTCTTCTGCCTTGCAACGGATGAGTGTGGTTGCAAGGACACTAGGTGACAAGAGGATGGATGCCTACATGAAGGGGGCCCCTGAGGTCATCGCCAGTCTCTGTAAACCCGAAACGGGTAAGAAATACAGGCTCTGAATACAATTCTGACATCAGCACGAACTTACAGTAGTGGTTCTAAACTTAAATTTCCTTTTATTTTTAAAAGTTCCAGTTGATTTTGAGAAAGTATTAGAAGATTATACCAAACAAGGCTTCCGTGTCATTGCTCTTGCACACAGAAAATTGGAGTCAAAGCTGACCTGGCATAAAGTTCAGCATATTAGCAGGTAAGGCTGCGTGGCTTCCCTGCAGTTTTGAGTAATACATTACTTATATTCCTATAAAAGGTTGAATGTGTGAAATTTCTGCATTGTAGCTCTGTTTTAGGTAAAACTAGAATTTTTCTTTTATTCTATATTGCTTTTTCCTGTTGTGTTTCATGTCAGTTTCTCTGCATATTCCTGGCTCTCTTGGAAGTAGTTGTATAGATTAGGCTGGCCTGAAACTCGCAGTGCTAGCATTAAATCATGTGCCACCACATCGTACTCTATATTGATTTGTTGCCTGTATTTATCTTTCTGAAATATTTTCTTTAGAAGTGTAGAAGTACTTAATAGCTATTATTTTGATTTTTAAATTCTTTGTATGTCTGTGTGTGGGTTGATGTAGTACCCATGGATGCCACCAGTGAGTGAGTGAGTGATCCCCTTGAACTAGAGTCATAGTTGGCTGTGGCTGCCTGGTGTGGCTGCTGGGAACTGAATTTGGGATTCCTTTCACAATTGGTGCTATGTGCCCTTCACCACTGCACTATCTCTCAGCCTGTTAAATTCTCACATTGTGCCAGGCATGTTGTAGGAATAGGCAACAATTTTATTTTCTCTAAAAGCCCACCACCCAGTGGGAACCAAATACAGATTTGGCTCATGAGTATCTTGAGTCATGATACCTGCTGTTTTTTTCTGCCCCTTGTCTAATGACATTACTGACATCTTTTTTTTTCCTTGTATAAATACAGTTTTATTTTTGACTTTGTTTCTTTGCTATGATAAAGTCCTCTGACAAACGAAACTTAAGAAAGGGGTTATTCTAACTTATAGTTCAAGGTACAGTCAGTATGGTGGAGCAGCAAGGCAGCAGAGTTTGAAGCATCAAGTCCTGTTACAGTTGGGGAACAGAAGAGTGAATATGTGCTGCTGTCCTTCTTTTTACATTTCTATAGTGCAGGATGCCAGCCAGAGAATAGTGCCACCTTCAAGGGGTGGGTCTTTCTGTCCCAACATAATCAGCAAGATAATCCCCCACAGCCATCCTCCTGTCTCCCAGCTAATACTAGATTTTTGTTAAATTGACAGTTGCTATCAACCATCCTACCTTTCTGATTTCTGTTGCTATAAGTGATAATGATAAGTGATAAGTGATAAGTGATAACTTACCCTTTTGTTAATATTTCATGCTGTGTTTAGTATTTTGTAAGTAGAAAGGAATATTGTTTGTCCTGATACTTCTGTCTGTTGTAGAGTGATGATCTGAACATAAATATATTTTCAAAAACTAAAAGCCAGAATAAGGGGGCTGGAGATGTGGCTCAGAAGTTAAGAGCCCTGGCTGTTTTTTCAGGGGACTTGGGTTTCTAGCACCTGTAAGGTGGTTCACAACTACTCACAACCTCAGTACTGGGTGATCAGACATCTTCGTCAGGCACACCAACAGTCTTACATGCAGTCTTACATACAAAAACCTAGTGGATCGATACACATACCGGGTTGAAAAACACAGATATGTCCTGATTCCCACCCACAAAGGACACATTAGTCTTCTCTTTACAGTATCACCCTTGTTCTTGGCCCCATTCAAGACTGATTGTTCATTTACCTATAGTTCTTGAGCCTGTCATGTTCAGAGGGCTCTTCCTGCCCTGGATTAGACTCTGTTGATCACATCATCCTATCCCTCCCTTTTCTTCCTTTTCCTTCAGCCAAGACTGTCTCTTGTGTTTTTGCCTAATAGGAACAGGGTATTGTTGTTGTTGTTGTTGTTGCTTTTTAATAACTATTTCTCTTATTTAAACCTTTATATTTTAGAATTGTACAATTATTTAGAGTACAAGATGTCCATGACATTTGGCATTTAGCTTTTGTAAGATCTTGAGTTAGGAAATCTGCTGAACCCACTGGCTCAGTGCTGCTAACCTAGTAGTTCCATATTGTTACAGCTGAGCACCATCTTTCCCCCTTCCTTTCCCTGTAATGTCTTTACCACTTTTTATGAATTAAGTATCTTAAAACGTTTAGGTTTTATCAGTAAATACTCAGGCACTCTTACTGTGGAATGTGTGCTTGGCTCTCTGTGTTTGTAGGTCAGAAGTGTATGGTAGGCATCTCTCTATCACTGTTTTCTAATTTTCGAGTGAACTCTCGTTGAACCTGCAAAGTATCCGCTTACCAGTGCTAGCTGGCTAGCAAGCTTCAGGGGTCTTCCTGTCTCTGCTTCCTGAGTACCAGTATCATAGTGTGTACTACCAAGCCTCACTTTGTACATGTGTGCTGGGAATCCAAGTCAGATCTTCATGCTTTCATGGCAAGCACTTCCTGGCTGAGCTATGCCCCTATCCCTGATGCTGAGTAATTACTTGATTTCACATCTGAATTTTTAGTTTGTAACTTTGACTTTCTTACCTTTTTCTTTTAAGGCTTTCTTTGGTTAGCTTGCGACTTAATAGGAATGTGGCTATCATTGGACCAACTTTGTCACCATGGTAGTGCTGAAGCGTGCTTCTGAAGTGTGCGTCTATTAGATCTATCATTACAGGAATGTCTTTATATTTGACCTGGAGAGTTGAATATTGCTGGCACATAGCTGTCTCTCAATTATTGAAAGAGTGACATTCTGAAAAACTGATTATTTTTAAAAGATACACCTATGTACCGAGTAGATCTCATTGCTAATGGTTATTTTTAACATATTGCTAAGATATAAAGAATTGTATTTTGTAGACTTGACTTAAAGTGAATCCACTATAGGTCTATCTAATGTACTTCTGGTGTGCACCCCCCCCATCATTCAAATTAGGTATGTTTCATGAGGGTATATTAGATAAATTATATTTATATATCATATTATATATGATATATAAATAATTATATAAATGAGGTATATTTCACGACACAGATTTGTTCTTTTATTTATTTATTCGTTCTTTTTGGATAAAATATGAGTATGCCTTAGTTACATAACTGATTAATGTTTACAAAGATAGACAATTTCAGCCTGAAGAGATGGCTCAGCAGTTAAGAGCACTGACGGTTCTTCCAGAGGTCCTGAGTTAAATTTCCAGCAACATGGTGGCTCACAACCATCTGTAATGGGATCTGCTGCCCTCTTCTGGCACACAGGTGTACAGGCAGACAGGATACTCATATACATTAAATAAATAAATAAATCTTTTTTTAAAAAGTAGATATTTCCAGGTGATCTTTGCATTTTATGTCTGGTTAATTTTTATTTCAATGTATCAAGACATTGCTTGGAAATTATTTTTTGAGATTTAAATTCTTGGAGGTAGTTAACTGGTAAGTGTACATATGGTTCATTTAGTGTGCACATTTTACTTTATAACAAAGGTGTTTTAGATTTGGGTCTTTTAGATTGCTCTGTCAATTTTTTGTCTTAACTAAATAATTATCTTGACTCTTCAGAGATGCCATTGAAAACAACATGGATTTTATGGGATTGATTATAATGCAGAACAAATTGAAGCAGGAAACCCCAGCAGTACTTGAAGATTTGCATAAAGCCAACATTCGAACTGTCATGGTCACAGGTGAGCATGACTGTAGAGCTCAAGTTGTGTGATATTAAGGGATGGTCAGTTAGAAAAGCACATGATTTAGTGACTCTACCATGTATTGTACTCTTTCACCTCTTTATATTTTCCCAAGATAATAAGGTAGCTATAATTCAGCTTTGATTTCTAACAAAATCTGTTTATGGAAAATATAGCAGTGTAGAAGAATTAAAGCTTTTTAATTATGTTCTTTTTGCTGTATTTCCTATACCATGTGTGGTGCCTTGGCTTGTGTGAATTATCTATCTGATGTGAATTATCTATTATCTTCTACTGTAATATAACATTCCTGAGGAATGGGTGTGTGCACCTTTTCATTTTGGGAATTGTTTACAATTTCTAGTATTGATGTAAACATAGAAAATGGTTATCAGGTATTTGCTAGAATCAGATGAAACTTTTTCAGTTACATTTCATTTCTGTACTATGTGTGTGTGTGTAAGTGTGTAAGTCAGAGAATATCCTGGAGTCAGTTTTCTCTTCCCACTCCAGTTGTACCCACTATAACACACAGTAGAAGCCTAATGATTGCTCCGTATGCTCATGTTTCCCTTCAACCTTAATGTCTTTAAAATACTTTGGAAAATTAGGAGATAACATGTTGACGGCTGTCTCTGTGGCCAGAGACTGTGGGATGATTCTACCTCAGGATAAAGTTATTATTGCTGAAGCATTACCTCCAAAGGATGGGAAAGTTGCTAAGATCAATTGGCATTATACAGACTCCCTGACACAGTGCCGTGAATCATCAGCCATTGACTCAGAGGTAATGTTTATATTGTCTAAGTTTGCTCATTTGAATTTAGTCTGAAAGCAAAAACAAAAACAATGGTACATGAAAACCCAGTATTAACAAAAACTAAATAAAAATAAAAGCCAGGACTGTCATTCCAGAGATTCTGATTCATTATCGTAAGAATCTGGGTGTTTAAATTTGATACTGGTTTTTCTTTTCTTTGAATAATGCTAGGTTTTTAATGACATCATTTATAATGTAAAATAATCTTGGCATAAACATATTGAATATAGAACTTGTTTTTTCTTGGCATGGGTGCCTGAATACATTTGTTCCAAATGTCTTATGTATAGGCTATTCCAATTAAACTTGCCCATGATAGTTTAGAGGATCTTCAGGTGACTCGCTACCATTTTGCGATGAATGGAAAGTCCTTCTCGGTGATCCTGGAACATTTTCAAGATCTCGTTCCTAAGGTGAGGAATGGGAATTATGGGTGTGTTCATGGGCTCACTGAATTCAGGAGCTCCCATGGTAAAACAGTGTTTGTTTTCTAGTTGATGTTGCATGGCACTGTGTTTGCTCGAATGGCACCAGATCAGAAGACACAGTTGGTGGAAGCATTGCAGAATGTAGAGTAAGTACTGATGGGTTTTTATGGTTCTTTTCTTATGAATTATAATTCAATTTTCAAATTATGAATAGTAACTAATATTTCTTATGTATTAGTTGAACATCCTTAATCCAAACACCAGAAATATGAAATGCTTTAAAATCTCAAAAATCTTTTGAGTGTCACAGAATTTGAAGCAAATATTTTAAAATAAGAAAAATTCCAAAAATCAGACACTTATTTCAGATGAAAAATATTTAAAGTGTGTGCACATGCATTTGAATGTCTAGGTATAAAGAATTGTTACCAGTCAAGTAGGTAAGAACTTTATGCATGTTTTTAAAATAAGTTCACCTTCATGTTTATCTGGGTAAAGTATTCACAATTCTTCCTTAAGGTTATACCCTCACAGAGTTCATTAATTGGTGCTCTTTTTAATTGAAATGTATGTAAATATATGTTCTTTGTTACAAACAACCCTACTCCCAGTTCCCTTGGTGCTCTCTTCACTCGTCCCCAGCAGTGTTACTTGTTCTTTCTTCCTCCTTCAACCTGATTTAAACTGATTAGTCCACTTAGTGCTTGTATGTGTACTGGTATATAATAAAGAAGTGACTTTATAATTTGAACTTTGGGGTATGTTTCAGGGCAGTGTCTTAGCCTTACAGGTTCACACAAATGCATTTGGGTTATGCATGACTCTGGAATTTCAGTAACTTGTAATGTTTGAAGTTTCTAGTGGAGAAATCTTTACTCATAACACAAAAAAATATGTTCAAGTTTTTACCTTGCACTTCAGGTAAGGAAGTTGAGACACCAAAATCATTTGTCCATGTGCAGTATCCTCCCAGTGCTGTCAGTAGAGCAGCAGTGTCTGACCTGGTATGAAGACCACTTGTTTCACTTGTGTGTTAGCTCTCTGACTCTGTGCTGGTGGGGAATCAACTTCTTTATGTATGAATTTTAAGAAAATCCTAAACTCATTTTTCTTTTCTTAGCTATTTTGTTGGGATGTGCGGTGATGGTGCAAACGATTGTGGTGTAAGTACTGTTTTTGTGATTTATTTTGTAGTTCTTTAGCTGAGTCATTCACAAAATTAATCAGTTTTTTCAACTCTTAGGCTTTGAAGAGGGCACATGGTGGCATTTCCTTATCTGAGCTTGAAGCTTCTGTGGCATCTCCTTTTACTTCTAAGACACCCAGTATCTCCTGTGTGCCAAACCTTATCAGGTAATAAAGATCTGATTTTTTTATATTTGTGTTTTTTGAAGAGACCTTGTTAAAAAATATGTTTTGCCTACATGAAAATATGTGTACTGTGTGTGTACCTCGTGCCCAAGGAGACCATAAAAGTGTTTCTGAACCCTTGGAACTAGAGTTTTGGACAGTTTGGAGTTGACATGTGGGTGCCATGAATCGAACCCCAGATTCTCTGGTAAAGCAGCCAGTGCTGTTACCTGCTAAGTCAGCTCTCCAGCCCCAGAAAAAACAACCTCACCCCTTTGTAGCAAAGCTGAACAGAAATTCACTGTGTAGCCTGGATGGCCTTGAACTTGTGATCCTCTTGTCTGTCTCTGCCTCCCAGTGGGTGTGAGTACAGATGTGAGAGCTAGTATTTCTGGCTCAGAGTTTTACTGTTTTCTTCTGTCTTGCACTTGACATGTAGTAGAATGAGTTATCTTGAAGAGCAATAGAACTTATTGAAATGTTCAGCTGTGGTTGGATCTATGACTACTAGCAGCAGATTGATACTCTTCCAGTTGTATTGCAACATAGATTTTTTGGTAGCCAAGAATTTTGTTGTAGATGTGAATGTTTATCTCTCAAGATGGAATTGTGTTCTGAAGGACAAGCTAAGGTGCTCTCGTCACATTCAACATTTCTATTCACAGGGAAGGCCGTGCTGCTTTGATGACGTCTTTCTGTGTGTTTAAATTTATGGCGCTATACAGCATCATACAATACTTCAGTGTTACTCTCCTGTATTCTGTGAGTACCCACATCACACAGACGTGTACTTAAGGGTAAAGCACCAAAGGTAGTGGGCCTGTGTCTTTGATTTTGAGTACATGACCTAAAAAGGAAATTTGTACAGTGTGTGTAAAATTACCTTGAGATATTGAAATTTGGGATACATGTTCCTTAAAGCCTGCACTCAATGGCTACAGCTTTGTGTGAAAAAAATGCTGGTGTTTGTTTGTTTGGTTTGGTTTGGTTTTTGTTGTTATTTGTCTGTAGTACAGATTGGCTTTGCTTGTTTTGGACAGGATTTCCAGTTTGTAACCTCATTATGTGATTGAGGAGGGCCTTGAAGTTCTGATCCTCAACTGCTGTCATGCTAGGGATAGAGGCGTATGCCATCTGTGTTATAGTTACAGTTGTCGTTAACTTTGCTATGCATTTACAGAAATAAAAATAAAGAGACATTTCAGTCCTAAAACTGCATTCGGAGAATGTAGACAGTTGCAGTAGGTTACTCTCTTACATTATGATTAACATGATTGCCCCATAGTTTCCTAATTGACACTGTAACATAAAACTATCCTTATGAACACTTCTTTTTATTATTTACTAAAGAATCAGAAGGGAAGGTTTAAAATATGAAGAAACACTGACACTTGAGAATACTGAGTATTAGAATGTTAAAACTTGTTGCCAAAATTAAAAGTGCTTTTGACAAATTTTTTAAAGTCAAACCTTTCATACTAAGATTTGACTTCAAAGTTATGTAAATGTGGGCTGGAGAGATGGCTGGGTGATTAAGAGCACTGACTGCTCTTCCAGAGGTCCTGAGTTCAATTCCCAGCAACCACATGGTGGTTCACAACCATCTGTAATGGAATCGGATGCCCTCTTCTGGTGTGTCTGAAGACAGCTACAATGTACTTGTACATAAAATCTTTTTTTAAAAAGTTATGTAAATATGTTGTTATTAATTCCAGAGGCAAATGTTTAAGTATGTTTCTATTGCTGTGATGAAACACCATGACCAAAATGCAAGTTGAGGAGGAAAGGGTTTATTTGGCTTACGCTTCCAGATCATAGTCCATCATTGGAAGGAGGTCAGGATAGGAATTCAAGTAAGGCTGGAGTGATGCAGAGGCCATGGAGGAGAGCTGCTTACTTACAGAATTCAAGCCCACCAGCCCAGGTGTGACACCACCCACAATAGGCTTGGGCCCTTTCCTCATTGATTAGTAATTGAGAAAATGCCTTACAGATGGATGTCACAGAGGCATTTTCTCAACTGAGGCTCCTTCCTCTCTATGAGACTAGCTTGTGTCAACTTGACACACAAAACCAGCAAGGACATATCATTTTGAAGGTGTCAATTCTTTGGGAAAAACAAGACTATAACCTGGCAACAGTGCTATGAAAACACTCTTAAACTTCATAATTGCTTTCGTAGATCTTGAGTAACCTGGGAGACTTTCAGTTTCTCTTCATTGATCTGGCAATCATTTTGGTAGTAGTATTTACAAGTAAGTATTTTGCTTTTTTTTTTTTTTTAAATTTCAAAGCATCCAAATGTTTGAAATTATGTTTTAAATTTTGGTAAATTTGCATCAACCATATTATGAGTAAGCTTATATTGGTCCAGTGTTCCTGTATGTGTTTTATTACTGGTTAATATTTTGCCCTATCTGCTTTCTAGACTGGAAGTGGGGTATAACCCTGACTCATACATTTTATCTAGGGTGTGTCTGTCTGTCTGTCTCCCCCCACCCCCAAACTCCCACCTCTCTCCAGCTTTTGTTTATTTATAGCAAAAGAGCCATAAAACACTTAACTGCTTACCTTACCCTTCTTGCTAGGATAATAAATCAGGAGAGTATCCAATTTCAACAGTGATGTATTTGATCCTTGCAGCATTATCTTACTCTTAACTAATGATGTTGTTTTTCTTCTTTATTGAAAATAGATTCCCTTATTCCACACCCTCTCCCGGCTCTCACCTGATCACTTCCTTTCCCATTCCCACCAGTTCCTAGCCCATCCTTAGAATCTATCCTATTTTCCCTTCCCAGGGACATCCATGCTTCTCCCTCATAGCCCTCTTCTTTACCTAACCTCTCTTGAGTCTAGATTGTGGCTTAGTTATTATTTACTTAACAGCTGTTATCTATTTATAAGTAAATACAGACCATATATGTCTTCCTGGGTGTCTATGTTACATCACCCAGGATAATTTTTTTTCTAGTTCCATCCATTTGCTGGCAAATTTCATGATGTCATTTTTTAAAAACCACTAATATTCCATTGTGCAAATGTGCCACATTTTCTTTATGTAATCTTCAGTTAAAGGACATCTAGGTTGTTCCCAGTTTCTGGCTGATGTGGCTCGAGCTACAGTGAACATAGTTGAGAAAGTGTCTTTGTGGTAGCATCCTTTGAGTATATCAAAATGCCAACACTTTTTTTTTTTTTTTGAGACAGGGTTTTCTCTGTAGTCCTGGCTGTCTTGGAAACCATTCTGTAGGTCAAACTGGCCTTGAACTCAGAGATCTGCCTGCCTCTGCCTCCTAAGTGCTGGGACTAAGGCATGTGCTACCACCACCCTACTTGCCAAACAATTCTTTACAGACCTTGAAAGGACAAGTCTTACCTTGATATGGAAAAACAAAAGACGCAGGATAGCCAAGACAATCCTGAATAATAAAGAAACTGCTAAAGGTGTCACTATTTACCATTCTTGATGTCAGGTTATACTACAGAGATATATTAATAAAAGCTGCCTTGTATTGGTGTAAAACAGACATGTTGTCCAGGTAGTGATGGTGCATGCCTTTAAACTCAGGCTATGAATTTTTTTTAAGGGATATTACAATGCTCCTGCTGTGCCCTTGTAGATTCTTCATGTAAGGAGATACAAGATGTTAGTTTTTACTAGTGTTGGTACTAACATCAAGATAAATAATAGGCGTATGGCTTCTTAAATTAATAGGAATTCAGGAATCTGGCCATACTGAAAATAAATATCTGGGAAGTAAGTAAAAGCTGTTCAAAGAACTTGCTAGTTAATATGAGGACTATTACATTTGACCACGAAGAGATCCAGGTCTTCTTATTTATATTTTAGGAAGATAATTCTCTGTGGAGAACTATCCTGTGCATTGTAAGGTACACAGATGATCCATTGTTTACTGCATGTTTTCAATACTGTCAAATTTCCAACTACTTGAAATAAATCCCTTCTTGCCATACCTTTCCTGGGAGTGTTAAAAATTACTTCTGATGAAAATTACTGAATTAAAAAAAATGGCTTAGTAGATGATAAGACTAGTCAGTAAGTAAAATTTATCAAAATTTTGTAACACTTGACATTATTATCGAAAGATAAGTTTAGAAATTTTATAGTGGAGAACTTGGTAGATCCCATGTGTTATCAGTTGGACTAATTTTCCTTTATGTTATTATTGTGTTCATAGAGCTTCAGACATTGCTAGTATATTGTTGAACTAGGGTTTTTTTTTCCTTTCACTTTTATGTTACATTATGTTATGACATAACATTACATGGTTTTGCTTGTATATCTCAGAAGGGCCTTGCACTTGTGATCATCCTGCCTGAGCCTTCCCAGTGCTGGGATTACAGGTGTGCACTACTACCACACATTGGCTTATAGTTACTAGTTTTACTGGTACTGGAATTTTCAGTGAGTGTCATTGGAAAGGTAAAAGTTACTGGAGGCATTTTTGAAATTAGAATTAAAAAAAAAAATCACTTTTGTAGATTATTTAAATGTGTATGACATCTGGCTTCAGTGTTTAGAAACTTTAAATACTTACAAGACAAAACCAGAATTTTAAAAGTCTCATTTCCAAGAGTATTTAATTATGTCTTTCTTAGTGAGAAATTTAGACACAATTTTTTTTGTCCTTTCCTTTCAAATATAGTGAGTTTAAATCCTGCCTGGAAAGAGCTTGTGGCACAGAGACCACCTTCAGGCCTTATATCCGGGGCACTCCTCTTCTCCGTCTTGTCTCAGATTGTGATCTCCGTTGGATTTCAGTCACTCGGTTTTTTCTGGGTCAAGCAGTATAAAGTGTGTGATCCATATTCAGAGTAAGTTGGTCAATCCATTGTAAAAATTGTATAAGGTAACCATAAAAAGATGATCCCTGAAATGTGTATCAAATTTGCTTGCAGCTTTTTAAAACACCTTAATAGTTTTGTCTTTTTAGTGTCCTAATTTTCTGTTCATCAGTACCACAGCCAAGTTACAAGGAAAAGGGATTTGTCTTACCTCTGGATTGAGAAACTCATATACTGTCTTTTTTGATGGTGGCGTTTCTAGCAGATGTTTCTAGACGTCACACATTGAGACCTATTCTGATATGCTCCCGTTCCTCTATTATTGCATGAATGAATTCATCTACTCATGGGGGCAGAGCTCTAGTCACCTCTTCAAGTTCTCACCCAGTCTCTGCTCTTACCGTCTCAATGAGGATTCAATATGAGCATAAACTTTAGAGGGGACCATGTAAGACCAGAGCAGAAAGTGTCTAGACAAGTGCAACTCATTACCTGGATGGAACCTGGATTTGCTTCTGAGACTTGCTTTTCTGTAAAATGAGAAAAATTGGCATCAGAGTTCAGGAAGACCCTGGTATAGTATAATGCTTCCAGGCTTTCTATTTCCAAGTTGAAGAAACACTTTTATTAAATATAATTTTAAAACATCCTGAAAAGAATAATAGATATTTATTTATGAAGTATTCTACTGTTCACAAACTGATGAATTAATGAAATGTGGATAATTTTGTCAACTCTTCAGTTGTGAATATTTTAATTTGCTTGATTGAGATTATCTTCAACATTTGTAGGAAATTTAAAAAAAAAACATAGTTTTCTTAAATGTATATAAGCATTGCCCATGAAAAGGAATGAACAAAATTGTTTTGACTCTTTTAAGAGTCCGTTTATAGAGGTTTAACATATATTTATGTTTGTTGCAGTAACATTACTAATTGTGTATGCCTGACAGTACTGTACACTTAGAAAAGGAGAGCAAGCCCTAACTAAAAAACATTGAAGGTTATCTTGTTGTCAGTGCTAAGCCACATAAAAACATAGGTCATCCTACAGTATAACCCCAGAGAAGTATGAACCCTAGGTAAAGAAATACAATCACATACATTAAATAAGATAGTGTATCCCCAGTTATCATGGGGTAGTGCTAAAGACAGATTTGTGGTCTGTTTACATTCACTGTGCTAAAATTCCAAATATGTTTTAAAATTATTTGATGATAATATTAACTGATTATAATCTGTAGCTAAAGGGTAAAGAAAACCTTCTGCATGCCCTCTGTTGCTGCACCTTTTGTTATGAATAGCATCTTACTTCTTTGTATTGTAATGATTTAAGGCATCTAAAATAACATTGACCCTTTGGGAATATGCTGCTGTGTTCTTAATGGGATCTTTGTGTGTTCCAGTGTTTGTAATACAACAAGAAGCGCATGTTGGAACTCATCACACTTATACAATGGGACTGAACTCGATTCGTGTAAAATACAAAATTATGAAAATACCACAGTGTTTTTTATCTCCAGTTTTCAGTACCTCACAGTGGCGGTTGCCTTTTCAAAAGGAAAACCATTCAGGCAGCCTTGCTACAAGAATTGTAAGTGTGACATCATGATTTCCACCTTTCTCTTCCTTTACAACATTATGTAGAAGAAAACTGGTCTTGGCAACATGCCAGTGATCCTACTTGGCTAGATGCATAGCCAGACCCTGTCTCAAAAACAAAACTTTAAAAAAGGAATAAATGAATTTAGCTGGCAGTTCCTTCGTGGAGAGGCAGGTTCTTAATGCTTTGAATGTTTACTGTCTTGTTTTCACTTTGATGAGCACTCCCACTCCTAAGTTTAAACGACTCAGGTTTTCATAGCCTGTTACTTCGGGCCCCTTTCTTTCTTTGAGTGAGTACAGAGAATTGGAAGCAAGAGCCTGTAGGAGGCTCTGGGGAGACAGTGGGTGTGCTTTCCTCTCGAGTGTTCTTCACAGTACCAGCTACCTTGTCCCTCCCTCACACTGTTGTCAAGATCAGGGTCTGTAGAATTTCTCATTTTAATCAGTTTTGCTCCCCATTACAGAAGTGGCCAAAAGATTAGAGGTCTGTGTTGTTCTATGGGTTTCAACATAAACGTCCAAAATTTTAGCTTTATAAACAAAAATTGGTTCGACATGTAAGTTGCTAGCTTTTGAAAATCAAAATGGGAACAGTGAAATGGCTTCAAAGGACACCTATCCTGCCAGAAGAGTTCTACCTGAGTTCAGTCCTAATTAGAACATGTAAAAGTGCAAAAAGAGACTCGGCTACACACAGATGTCTGTGACTTCCACATATGTCCATGGTGTGTGTGCCAGTTGACACACAATAATAATAATTTTAAAAATTGAAAACGTTAGTTGTTATGGCTTTTGCAGTGTCATGGAGCAAATGACAAGTGTTTGTGTGTAGCTGTGAAGAGATGTCATTGTTCAATTAAAATGCCAGGACTAGATTTTTAGACATCAGATAAGTGATAATCATTGGAACCTCATTCTCATTCTGGATTTGAGGAGCATTTCCATATTCCAGTGTTTGACCTTGTTTGAACAGATAACATTGAAATTTGTTTTTACTGGTAATTTTTCTGTTTTAAATAAGATCATTGTTATTAGCATTCATGTTACTGTGTAACTGTACTAATAACTGTTATGGAGATCTACTAGAAGCATGCTATGCTACTTAGAACACTTTATAACCAGTGTTAACATACTAAAAGGTGGACCTTTTTGGAGGGAGTGAGTGGAGGCAATATTAGGGCTTAAACCCTAGGTACTCCCACCTCAAGCTAGGTATGTATCATTGAACTATATCCCCGAGTATTTTCACTTTAGCAAAGCTTGCGTGGGTTAGGCTGTGTAACTAAGCTTACTTGGAGCTTCTGATCCTCATTCCTCCACTTGAGTGCTAGGATTGCAGATATTTGCTATCACACATTAACACTAGGGATCTACCCTAGGCATAACACTTACTGGGTAAAGTACTCTTCCAACTGAGCCACATCCCCAGTCCTTCCTTACTTAAACTTTCTTTTATTAATATTATGTGTGGAAGATAGAGGACACCTTTGGAGTTAGCTGTCTTCTTCCATCTTTTACAGGAGAGTCAGAGATTAGGCTCAGGTCACAAGCTTGTGCAGCAATTACCTTTACTTGCTACTTTTCCTTAGCAGATTTTGTACTTCTAATTCTCCTGCCTCATTCTCCTGAATTTTGAGCTTGGAGGTATAGTGTGCTGTGTCCAAAAACAGTGGTTTTCCTTTCTTTTTTCTTCTCTATTTTGTTTTCTTTATAGTTATGAAGAAACAGCCCTCTGATTGGTACCATGTTAGGAAAATTAACGATAGTGATCTAAGAATATATTATTGTGAGTGAGTGAGTGAGTGAGTGAGTGAGTCACTTCAAGCAGGGACAGTTGTAGAGGTGAACTCAGGAGTGTAAAGCTTTCTAGGCAAGTACTCTACCATAGAGCCATACCTAGGTTTGTATTTATTTTGTTTTGGCAGAGCTGAGTTTTAAGCTACTTGCTTTAAAAGTACATCTTTTACATGATTGGAAGACTTCAAATTTATCTTCTCATTTAGTTGTCAGTTGATGCAAGTAAGCACTTTATTGTTGACAGTGGCACTGATTTCTTTTAAGTATACTAAAATATTTCAGCAGAAATATCAAAAACCACTGTATTTTCTGTAAGCTTTGTGCCTGCAGAGGGTATAAAGGAACCAATATAGTTGGCCATATATATTTTGCTAGTTGTTACCCCTTGTTTTCCTGTTAGTAATGTACATTGTCAGTGAAATTCTTGGAACAGTTCTTTGCTAGGGCTATTCAATTGTTCTCTAGATCTAATCAATGTAATGTAGTATTATTACACTTAATTTGAGATTTTTTTAATATTGGTTTAGATGTAGAGACAATCTTTCTAGAGTGGTATTCCCTTCTAAAATAAAACCTACTATCAGTGTAGCTACAAAATTCAAACTTAGTTGTTATATATGCATAATTGTGTTTGGCTGTGCTTTCATTTTTCAAGTATCATGATAGTTCACACTTAAATTTTTTTCGATTTTTTTTCAACAGATGTCATCCCCTTTCCCCATTTCCCCTCCCTAGAACCTCCTATCCCATCTCCCTTTCTCCTTTATTCTTTTATACCATTTTGATTACATGCATGTATTAAGGTCAGTTCTAGGTTGAAGGTCTAGCAATACAATAGATGCAAATAGTCAAGGAACAAGCAAGACAATAAACAGAAATAGTCAAAGAAAAAGCAAGGCATTAAACCCAATTATGTGAACACTCCAGTGATCACTTTTTCTAAGGGCTTACCAGGATGACCAAAGTATCTGAGCCTACTTCCCTGTCCTAGCCCAAGGTCATTTTCGTGTCTGAAGCCTACTTACTTGTTCTAGCCTAAAATTTAGATTCCTGCCTGAGATTACTTCTTTGTTCTAGCCTAAGATTTAGATTCCTACCTGAAATTCTTTGTTCTAGCCTAATGTCAGATTCCTGCCTGAAGCCTACTTCCTTCTCCTTGTCCAGTGTCATATTCCTGCCAAGCAGCCCATTTCCTTGTCCTTGGCCCATGTCAGATTCTTGCCAAGCAGCCTCAAAGGCTCTCCACCTCTCCCCGCAAGACTGAGCCTGACTTAGGTCATTCTGACAAGAATGCCTTCCTCACCTATCATGGAATATGCATTATCAAAAGCAATGCACTTATGTCTTAGGTTGGTAAGGCTCTGTGCAGAATCTTACCCATTCTTGGCTTGCCAGCCTGTTAATTTAATAACTCTGTCTGGGGGGTCACACTTAAATCTTAACTATCATTTCTCATTAGACTTTGTTTCTTTGTTTGAGGCAGTCTTATATCTTACTGACAATACTAAGAGAACCCAGGAGCTCAGTGTAACCTAATAGACTTTCCTACCTCTCTCAACTGCTGCGTACTGATGTTTCCATTCTTTGTTGAAGTCTTAAATGATTTGCAAAAAATTCTTGTGTGCTTATATAAAGCCATGCAACATCTACCTTTCTTGAGCAGTACTTAATAGTTACTTTTATTTTTGTGTGTCTTTTTCTTTGTCTGTCTCTGTTTCATGTTCATAGAGGCCAGAAAGGGGCACTAGATTCTCTGGAGCTGGAGTTACATGTGGTTGTGAGCTACCAGATATGGGTGTTGGGAAAATAACTTATGTCTTCTGGAAGAGCAGCAAGTGCTCTTGACTGCCAAGCATTCCCAGCCCGTAGTCCTTTTGTCTCCAGGCTAATGAAAGGGTGTGTCTGTGTGTGTCTGTGTGTGTCTGTGTATTTACTCTCATGGAAATCCTCGCAGATTTTTTTGAAGTCAGATCTGGGGTAGCTCAGCAACTTTTTAAAAACACATTTAGGTCAACTTCCTTAACTAAAGATATATTTACCAGGAACAAAATTATTAAATGCAGTAAGATTTGAAAAGTATCTAACATGGATTATTTATTTATTTATTGAATTCAAACTTCATCCATCCAGATGAAGAAATCTCCTCTTGCAGGTCAGGCTGACCTCAGACTTAGTCTTTCTACCTCTGTTTTCCAGAGAAAGTCACCTGCAAGTGATTATTTCTTTTAGTTCTTTTTCTCCCCATTTTTTTAAGTTCCAACCAGCACTTTAACCACCAGAATAACTTTCAGATAACTAATATATATTACTTTAATTGTACTTGTGCAGTAGAATATTAAATTTCCATTTATAAGTGTAAAATTAGGGCAAGGGAATCACATGATCGGGTCTCACTCTGGATTCCTGGCTAGCCTGGAACTCAGATCTGTCCACATCTGGAATGCTGGGATTAAAGCACATGCCACCATTAACTGACATACACTTAAGGTTGAAGGGAGTGGATTTAAATATCTCTAATAAATCTGGAGGAGGAGGAGGCTATGCAGAATGTCTTATACTGTAGGAAATAACAGTATGCTTTTTATATTTCATCGACTTAAGTAGAGGTATTCAAACAAAATTGTATGTGTGAAGTTAATTGTATGCTTCTTAGTGTTTGGCACTTTATGATTTAAGGGTAATGCCTAATTTTATTGTTTGCTTTCTTTTCCAGATTTTTTTGTTATAGCTGTAATTATTTTGTATGTTTTCATATTATTCATCATGTTGCATCCAGTTGCCTCTGTTGACCAGGTTCTAGAGGTAAGGCTTAGCACTTCATTCATTACCTGTCATGGTTGATAGGAACTGGGAAAACAGTATTAAGACATTGATAAAAAGTGACATTGTAGTATAATTCGGAGTTATCATCATTTTGGATGTTTGGTACTGAAGGAAGATTAAATAAACTACCTTTATTTTTATTTTTTCCAGTATTGCTTCTTTCCCTTTATCTAATATATAGTTGTATTTAACAAAAGACACTATAAAACAATGGTGATAATTAAAGTAGATTTTATTGATTATACCTGATTAGTTCATTGACTCATCTTTTCCCACGTGTCTCCTGTGGTACCTCTGTGATGTATCAGTTCCCAGGTGGGGAGTTTGTGACTTTCATCCTATTGGGAGCTTTATATTTTTTGTTTTGAGTTCTCTTTTGTCTTTTTTCTGTGGTAGTATCAGAATTATTATGACTTTGTAAGGAATCTTTTATGTATTTCAGACCAGGACTTCTGCTGCAGCCTTTTAGATTGGGCTTGTTGGGACTCAGGAAAAGTATTTAGGATTAAGAATTATTCTGAGATGCTCAATAAATTCAGGGTACAATTAGTACAATTAGTTCTCCTTTTTGTGAGCAATGCTCGTTTTTCATATTGTCTTAGTTACTACACTCATTCCTATGATAATAACTGATGAGCCATTTAGAGAGGAAAGACTATGTTGGAACATTGTTTGAGGAGATTATCCTCTGTCAGGATGGATGATGCATGCTGATAGAAGTTTGAGGCAGTTGGTCACATTGCATTTGTACTCAGGAAAGAGTCAGAAAGAGTCTTCATTGACTGCTTTGTACACTGACCAAGATTGAGAACAGCTTTATTCAATAGAAATAGACATATTAGAAGGCACACATTCATTAAAAACAGCAGTATTAGATTCCCCCAGGGATTATGACCTGGCCAAGCCATGGACCAGGTTTACAGCCATCAAGTTTGCAGTGAGATCTGCCCTATAGATCAAGCCTGAAATCTAGTCAGAGTAGTTGGTTACCCCAAAACCTTTGTGTACTAACTAGTACATAAATCTTTGCTTGGCAGGTCTCTGCAGTAGCATACCAGGTCCACTGCTGAATTTTCAGATCAGTTTCAGCTTGATTTCTTTGTGTCTTATGATTGAAGTGCTGTATCTCTAGCAGTTGAGTCTTCTAGCTGTGATGAACAATGGCTGTAGTCCATTATATATAATGAACCTCTGGGGAGATACTCCACACCTGACACTGAGAATATCATATAATATTTTATGTCTTCTGGAGGAAGCAGTGTCCACCCCTGCATGGTACTTCATTCAAACTCATTTTTTCTTAAAACAAAAAACATATATGTGTTACAGACAGTTGTGAACTTTCATGTGGGGTCCTGGGAATTGATGAAGCTAGATCCTCTCCAAGAGCAGCAAGTGTCTTTAACCACTGAGCCATCTCACCAGTCTCTGTAGATTATGTTGTTAATTAGCTTACAAAGAATAGATGTCCATAAGGGTATTTTCTTATCTTACCCCCAACTCCCTCTTCTTCCCCATCTCCCTACCCCTGCTTAAACCTTTTTTTTTTACTTTTTTTTTTTTTGGTTTTTTGAGACAGTTTCTCTGTATAGCCTGGGCTGCCCTGGAACTCACTCTGTAGACCAGGCTGGCCTTGAACTCAGAAATCCACCTGCCTCTGCCTCCCAAGTGCTGGGATTAAAGGCATGCGCTACCACCACCCGACCCCCCTGCTTAAACCTTAAAGTACTAATATTGTTTTTCCCTACTTTGACATTACATATGTTCCACTACCTCCATTCCCTCTTGCTTCCTGACCCCACTAAAAATTTGAAGGTAGACTCCATACATATGAGAGAAAACATGTATTTGCCTTTTTGAGCCTGCATTGCTACACTTAGTATAGTTTTTTTCCAGTTCCATCCATCTTTCTACGGATGACATAATTTTATTATTTCTAGTAGAAAAAATTCCATTGTATGTGTGCAGTACATTTTCATTATCCATTCATTACTTTATGAGCATCTGGGCTGATTTCATTTCCTAGCTATTGTGATGACAAGAACAATGAATGTGTAGATATCCCTGTAATAGAATATAAAATCCTTGGACGTTTCCAGGAATGAGATTGCTGGGATCATGGTAATTCTGTTTTTTAGCTTTTTAGAAACCACTGATTTCCATGGAGGCTACACCAATACACACTTCCTCCAACAGTGAATTAAGGGTTTTTTCCCCCCACATCCTCACCAGCATTTGGTATCATTTGTTTTCTTAATGGTAGCTGTTCTGACTAGGTGAAATAGAATCTCAAAGCAGTTTAAATTTGTATTTTCCCAGTGGCTAATGGTGTTGAGTGCTTTTAAATGGTGATTTGCCATTTTTTTGAGAACTCTGCTCAGTTCCTTTTTGTTGTTGGTTTGGTTTTGGTTTAGTTTTGGTTTTTGGCTGTTTTCTTTAAGTTTCTTGTTCTTTGTATATTCTGTATATCATCTGTTAGATATATACCTAGCAAAGATTTTCTCTCATTCTATAGGTTGCCTCTCGATAGACAAGGTTTTGGGTTTGGTTGTTGTTGCTGATATATGGAAGCTTTTTAATTTCATGAGATCCTATTTGTCTGCCTGAGCAGTCAGAGTCCTAGTCACAAAGTCCTTTCCTGTACCAGTACCTTAATGTGTACTTTTTTTTTTTTTTTAAGTTTGAGAGTTCTGGGTACTATGCTGAGTTTCTTCATCTGTTTGGAGTTGGATAAGGAACTAGTTTATTTTTAATTCTACATTTTGGTCTCCAGTTTTTCCATCATACTCTGTTGAAAATGTTATCATTTATCCGACGAGTGCTTTTGGCATCTTTGTCAAAAGTCGAATTGCAATAGTTTCCTAGACTCTTATCCAGGTTCTCTTCTCTTCTCTTCTTTTTTCTTTCCTTTCCTTTTTTCCTTTTCCCTTTTTTTCTTTCCTTTCCTCTTTTCCTTTTCCTTTTCCTTATCCTTATCCTTATCACAGTATTGCTGGTAGTATTGTTTGCCAATACCATGCTGCTTTTGTTACTCTGGCTCTAGAGCATAACTTGAAATCAATTTGGTTATATCTCCCCCAGTATTGTTTTTGTTCAAGATTACTCTGGCTGTGTGGAGTCTGGTACTTCATTGGGGGGGGGGGTGTCTGCAGATTCTATGGCTAGCAGAGTATTTATTAATCCACATGAGATAAGAAGGGAATCTGGTTCAACACGACTCACTATCAGATGTTGCTAGGTAGTTTATTTCAGGCATATTTAAGTATAGCACAATTTTGGGGAAAGGCTCCTGATAACTCAATCCTATATGTACAATAAAACTTAGACATAGTTACATCAAAACTCTATAAAGTCCAAGTGTCCTCTTCCATAAATATATGTTCTACGGATTAACTGGGGAAGCAGTTCAAGGTAAAACAGCTCATAAAGGTCTGGGAGAGGATAGTGCTATACACATAAGAGTCTAGGAGAGCCAGGTGTGACCTGGGCATACAGTTAATGGAAAGGTCACCAGGTTATTAACCACATCCATTCCCAGCCTTTGGAAATACATCTGTTGTTTGAAGAGACATTCCTGGTTTCCCTAGTACTTACCTGACAGTACAAAGATATCATGTTTCCTACACTTTCTTATGAGTTTTCTTAATATATGATCTATTTTAAGGAAAGTACCATAGACTGCTGAAAATAATGTATTTGCAATATTTGGATAGACTGTTGTATATAGGTTTAAGTCCATTTATCTGTGATATCATCTAATTGTCAACCTTTTTTGTTTTGTTTTGTTTTTGTCACGAAGACCTGCTAGTTGGTGAGAGTCAGATGTTGAAGTCACCCATTACTATTTTTCTAGGGTTGATCTGTGACTTCTCATGTAATAGAATTTGTTTTCTGAAATTTAGTGCAACTGTCTTTGGGACACATGTTTACAGTTGCAATGTCCTCTTGGTGTATGAAATGACCATCTTTAATCACTTGTTTTGGCTTCAAGTCTTTATCTTTGTCAGGTATTAGAATACTTGCTTTTTGCTAGGTTCATTTGCTTGGAAACTGACCCAGGTCCTATGCAAGAGTAGCGAGTACTCTTAACCACTGAGCTATCACTTGAGTCCCTTTAATGTATTCTGTTGCCATGACAAAATACTTAAAGAGAAGAGAAGCTTTTTGTTTGTTGGTTTGGTTTGTTGGCTTTCAGTTCTGGATGTCTGAGCACTGACTGGACCAGCATCTGGTCAGCTTTTAGTGCAGACTACCATTTCTCCTTTCAGAGCCCAAAGGTGGAAGGGCAGATTGGCATGCATGGAAGAAATCAAATAATAAGTATTTATAGTAAGAAAGAGCAAAGGAGGCCCAATTCACTTCTCAACAACCTGTTTCTGATGTAACTAAACTACCTTAGCAAAAAAGGGCATTGCTCCTTCCTTGAAGGTGGGACCCTTGTGAACTAATTGCTCATGAAGACCCATTGCCACACTGTGGCTGTCTTCAGACACACCAGAAGAGGGCACCAGACCCCATTACAGATGGTTGTAAGCTACCATGTGGGTTCTGGGAATTGAACTCCGGACTCTGGAAGAGCAGTCAGTGTTCTTAACCTCTGAGCCATCTCTCCAGCCTGACCCATTGCCTCTTCACATTTCACATTTCACCATGAGTGAAACCATAAGAAAGGTTATCTTGAGACTTCATAAAAACTGAACAATTGAACTTTGAAGAGCAGTATATGAGTGTATTCATGTATTTTTCATGGAGAGGTTTAGTTAAGGATTTTAAACATATTCCACTCGCCTCCATACACTTGCCACACTTGGCTGATTGACTGAAACTGCCCTGACCAAGGCCACTCCCCTTTATAACTACTAAATATCCATCCAGTGGGCATGGGCCTTTGAAGTGCTTTTCCTTGACCTTTGTTTAGATTCTGAAGTGTTGGAACTATGTATGTGACCAGGCCAGTGTTTCCTTAGATTGTGGTTCTTTGTTCCCTTCTGGCTTTTTCCTGCCCTCTGTGATCTTCATTCTCAGTCTCCATTGTGGTCCTATTCTCTCTGGCCTGTCTTTAAGCATTAGTTTCCCATCTTTCTGGTCCCTCTTTTCCCTCAGTACCAGAAAGTCTTCTTTATAGTCATGGTTTGCCTGTAGTTGGCATTCTAATAATCTTCAGTTCTATACTCAAGTTTAGCTCTCACTGCTAGACCTGAATACAGTGACAGCAGATCCCCAAATTGCATATTTTAAAACACTTTGGGGCTGAGGAGCTAGCTCAGAGAGTAAGTGTTTGCTGGGCCCGAGTCCAAATCTTCAGAACCCACATACAAAGATAGACTTGGTTGTGTATGCTTCTAATCCCAGCACAAGGGGCATCGATTGGTGAGTGGTAGACCAGAAAACTGTTATCCTACTTTGGCCTTCTTGTGTGCACATAAGTGTATGCATACATCATACATGCACATAATATCAAAAAGCTAAGGCTTAAAGCTAAGTTTATCGTGTTCTCTTTCCATCTTGCTTCTTCTCTTTTTGGTGTACCACCATTTTAGAACATGTGTTTGGTTGGATGTTTTGTTGTTTTTGTTTTGTTTTTTGCTGTTTGTTTCCCTATTCTGAAAATTCTGTGATTGGGATCATTGGGCGAGTCTGGCTTGGCCTTCCATCATCTCTTGCAGATTCCTCATCAGACCTTAAGGGGTGGTAGTATGTTAATGTGACACACTGGTCATCTCCTTGGCCTCTCACAGAGTGTCTTAGGTACTCAGTGGTAAATACTTGCTAACTTAAAAGGATGTTGTAGGTTGTAAAAAGCAGTCAGATTTTGGTTGGATCTGATGTCATGGAGGTATAGTTCAGCTGTTGTGGAGGCTGAAGTATGGGGAAATCAACTTAAGATTTGACTAGTATCCAGCTAATTTTTTTTAAAAAAGATTTATTTGTATGTTAGAGGGATGTGCGTGCTGATTGCCATGCCTGTAGAGGCCAAATGAGGGCATTGATTGAATCCCCTTGAACTGCAGGGAATTAACAGGTAGCAGTGAGCTATCAGATTGGATGCTAGGAACTGAGATTGGGGCCTCTGGAAGAGAAGCATATGCTCCTAACCACCAAGCAATCTCTCTGGCCTCTGCCTCATTTTTGAAAGATACTTAAAGTATAAATTTGTTAGACATTTGTTTTGTTGTTTTGGTTTTGGTTTTTCGAGACAGGGTTTCTCTGTGTAGCCCTGGCTGTCCTGGAACTCACTCTGTAGACCAGGCTGGCCTCAAACTCAGAAATCCGCCTGCCTCTGCCTCCCAAGTGCTGGGATTAAAGGCGTGTGCCACCACTGCCCAGCCAGACATTTGTAATACTGTAGAGAGAGCATGGATTTTTGAGTCTCTTAAGATTTAATGCTGAATTGTCATTTTTAAAATTATGAGTTTGAATTTCATTGTATGAAAAGATGCATGCTTTGTGACATTATTGAAAGTTTAATGGATAAAGTGTACATACGTAAGTACTTGATATTTATGTATGTATATAAATTTGCTACTTATACATATGTGTATAAATATAGGATTTCATTTCAGCTTGCATTTGTTTGTTTTTAAAGGTTTTTTTGTTTGGGTTTTTTTTTCTTTTTTCTTTTTTTTAGATTTATTTATTTATTTTATGTATATGAGTACACCATTACTGTCTTCACACACACCAGAAGAGGGTACCAGACCCCATTCAAGATGGTTGTGAGCCACCATGTGGTTGCTGGGAATTGAACTCAGGACCTGTGGAAGAGCAGTTGATGCTCTCAACCGCTGAGCCATCTCTCCAGCCCGTTTGTTTGTTTTTCTTTAAACAGTAGTCTCAGGTATCCCAATCTGACTTTGAGCCCACTAGGTAGCTGAGGATTGCTCAGGGGCTTTCTGTGTCTACATTCCAGGTCCTGGGCCACTTGTAGCCATGTACTTGTGCTGCCATGCCTGGCTTCAGATACCGTGATGTAATTAATACTCTGATATCAGTGAAGATGACAACTTTAACTGAAGTCTTTTTGTCTTCTAGATTATGTGTGTACCATACCAGTGGCGCATATACATGCTTATCATTGTTCTTGTCAATGCCTTCGTGTCTATCACGGTGGAGGTAAGCACTCAGCTTTGGGGTTCTTGGGTGACTTAGTGCTGAGAGAGCAGGTAATACTATTTATTATACAGAAGCCCACACTCACATTCAATTTCAGGGAAATTCATTTAGCTTCCTGATCTGACCTTTTCTGTAGTTATGTCAAGATTTGATGGAGTTGCATTTAGGCACTAGATGTGAATGAGGTGTCACAGATGAGCTGGGGGTGGAAAGAGAAGCAGGTATCCAGGCAGCTCCCAGAGCCGTGTGCTCTGAGGGGAGAGTAGAGGGGACCACTTAAGGAAGGAAGAGTAGTAAGTTCTCAGTGCTGCTCCTTATACCAGTGTAAGAAACAGCTAAGGCAGATAAAATCGGGATGTTTAAAGGTTTTATAATGGAAGCTTTTGAAAGTATGTGTATATTTTAGTGATAATTCCAGATTGGGAAATTATCCTGAAACTCAGCTGTCCCAAGAAAAGATGGCTTAGATTTAAATTGACATATAGGAGCATGGATGTTTGCAGTGCATCATTTAAAGTTGTTTCACAGGCTGCATTTCTGTTCAGGGGTCCTAGAAAGCACATCTGAGACGGTTGTAAGCACTCCCTTCCTTACAGCGTACATTCATCTTTTCAGATGTTATTTTTTTATTCTTGTTAACTAAGAATTATTTGTATTGGGCACTGATCTAATGCGTGTGTGTGCGCGCGTGTGTGCGTGTGCGTGTGTGTGTATGTGTGTGTATGGAGTAAGTAATTAGATATTAAGTGAAAATAACTTTAAGAAAAAGGCTATGAATCATCAACATTGTTAGGGGACCACTGGAGATTGAACCTGATTTTTAGAAAGTTTAGTCTTTTTTTATCAAGAATTTTATTATTTATTATAAAAGCTCTGTTATCCTTTTGTGTATTTACTGAGGTTTGCCATAGGAAAAGCAAATCAGTATTAATAATGTAGCGTTGTGTGAATGTTATCAAATGTGTGTGTTTAAAAGGAATGACCTGTTTAATTCTTAACTCACTGGACTATCTCTCAGAGCTTCTTCCTTGACACGGTCCTTTGGAAAGTTGTGTTCAATCGAGACAAACAAGGAGAGTGTCGTTTCAGCACCACACAGCCACCACAGGTTGGAAATGAGCAGTTACTGTCAATTCTTCACTTATTCTTGGTTTTTCCGCTTGTGTTCTTGGTTCTGTAACTCTGTGCCTGTAGCTTCAGCTGTCTTTGTTGTGCCTGGAATTTCTTTTTCTTTTTTTTTTTTTTTTTTTTTTAAATAAGAAGTCTTAGAAAAATCCTGGCAAGCACTTAATAGAGGGTTTTTTTTTTTTTTTTTTTTTTTTTACTTTGGGAATTTCATAAGACTTTTCCAATCCTAACTCTGTATGTATGTGTGTATGTTGGTCTGTCCAGTTGTGTAGCCTTGGCTGTCCTGGAATTTACTCTATAGACCAGGCTGGCCTTGAACTCACAGAAATCTGCTGCCTTTGTCTCCTGAGTGTTGGGATTAAAGGCATGTGCCTCCACCTCTTAGCTGAGAGTTAATTCTTCCATTTCTGTCAGTTTTATATTTTATGTATTTGATTGTCACTAATTCCCTTAGAGGGTAAATGATACATAAACAGTTTTGAATCAAGTTTTGTTTGTTTTGTTATTGGTTTTTTTGGATCAGACTCAAGAAACATTTTGAGGATTTATTTCTGATTTTTAGTTTACTATTTTCATTTATTTATTTTGCCAGTTGCTGTGCATTATTTTAAGGTGGCCTTTTGCTTTCTCTGACAAATGATTCTAACTCAGAAAATTATTTGTTTGTTTCTACTTAAGCAATGGTGAGGGCTTTTAAAGTCAGTGAAATAGCCTGTGATTTATAGGTATCACAAGGTTTCTCTGGCAAAAGAGCAGCCAGTGAGTAAATGTGTTTCCTACAATTCATGCTTCATGCCAGGCTTGCTGTATAGGATATACAATGCTATTTTGTGCTCTGTGCTCTATGTTGGAGTAATGGTGGCATGCTCTGAAGTCAATGGTAGCATGAGCCTGAAGTCAATTATAGTTTCTTTTTCCTCAAAGCAGTGTGATGCCTGTCTGTCACTAGTTAGTCGTGGGCAAGACCAGAAAGAACTGGGCCCAGGGCCTTTAGCTGAATCTCCTCTGTGATAATGACATAGCTGTATTTTCTTTAGGTGACTTCATTATTGCAGAAGGTCACACTGGTTCAGGTTACCTTTTTCATGTGAAATACAGTATTGACTGGAAAGGCACAGCCTAGGGAAACAGTACTGAGTTTTTACATTCTCAAAATATCTCTAACCCCCAGTGCAAGTGTGTTTTAAAGAGGGGGGTTATTTGCTTATTTAGTCAAATAGGTCTTTTAAGTCCCCTATAAAATATTTGAATTAGAAATCCCCAATTTTTCTTCTTTCTTTCTTTTGGTTTTTTATTTGTTTGTTTTTGGTTTTTGAGACAGGATTTCTCTGGATAACAGCTCTGGTTGTCCTGGAACTCACTCTGTAGACCAGGCTGGCCTCAAAGTCAGAATCTGCCTGTCTCCTGAGTGCTAGGATTAAAAGCATGCACCACCACACTCAGCTCAAGGAAATTCCCAATTTTTCAACCACAGTAAATGGCAAAAACATACATTTTCTTTACTAATGCATCTTTTCTAAAAAATTCTAAGTATCAGTTCTTAATTTTTAAAAGTTTTTATTTCATGTGAATTTCTATCTCTTAAGTGTTCATGAGAGGGAATGGTCCATAGCATTTAGGCTTGGCATGTCCCACAGACTCACCCATTCTGGGAACCACTAAGTAGACAAGAATTTTGGCCTTAGTTTTGTGGTTTTAAAAAAGCATTTTTTGGAGCTCTACTTTTAGAAAAGAGTTCTAAGTTCAGAGAGATTAATTTTCCTCTTCTGATAGATACTTCTCTGTGTAACACTTGCTTCTATTTCAGTGGCTACTCTCTCTAGCTCCATTCCTTTTCCTCTCCCTTCCATCCTCCAGCAAGGACTGCTTGTCAGTGTCTAGAAACAATTTTAGGTATCAGGTTTTGACACAGAATGGGTAGAGGCCACTGGTACTGCTAAATAAATGTCTTGTGGTACACAGACAACAACCCCTGCCGAAGAATTTTCTAGCAGGTGTCACTCTTCCTGATGTAGAAACTCCGTGGAAGTAAAGAAGGAAGGGCAGACAGTTGCTGGCATCTTTACCCAGGGCATGTGTAGTGCTGACTGCCACAGTCCTTCCTCTGCACTGCCTAGTCCATGCTCCTCCATTCTAGAGAGGTCCAGGAGATCTCAGACTGCAACTTCCAAACTACTGTGTTAGTGTTGGGAAAGAACACCCCTTTCTTCTTCTTTTCCTTACCTTATTCATGGGGACCACTGAGTTAGTTTGAAGGTTTCAGAGCTATAGGCTGCAATTTAGATATCACACTAATACCAGGTGACTTAATTGGGAAGTCATGGGAGAACGAGAATCATGCTGCTAATGCACTATTACCCTATTGAGGTTATGTACCTCGTTGGTGAAAATCTGTGAACTATAGCCATTCTGGAGCTTAAAAAATCTATATGAAAATACTGTTTCAACTTATTCATATAGAATACTAATTTGGATTTTATTCGTTTTATATTGAGGATTGAACTGGAAGATTTATGAAAATCACAGTACATGCCATGCATGAAAATGTTTCCTAAACGACTGCTGGTCGTGAAAAGCTGGGCATTAGAATGTACAACTTGGAATGTCTCAGAAGCAAGATTGTGGCTACAGATCTATATGAACATTCTGTATGGTTCTTTGCTGACCTGTGGTATCTTTGCCCTTGTCTTGGGAATTTTAATCAGCTATATTAACCATTCCAAATTAATTAAGTTTAGGAATCCAGTGTTCTCCTGCTTCAGGGACTGAAACTCTGCTCTGGGGAGATCCAAATGTTCATTCTAAGCCCTGTGACTAAATAGCCTTAGTGTTACACAGTGACTGACTCTCCTTGATTTCCTCTTCTGATTTCTCACTGTGTCATGCCTGTAGCCTTTAGCTTTCTCTTCCAGTGAACTATAATATTTGAGGGAGATGTGTGGGGTACATTTATGTACAGTCTCACCAACCTATGTATAGTGTATTTTTTTGTATGGCCATAAAGAATAAATGTGTTTCTAGCTATGGTGGAGTAGGGGGATCTCAGGTGTTCCTTGTGACTTAACGTATAATGAATATACATTGTTTTAAACAGATGTGAAAAGTACACACACTCATGTCTATATGTATTTATGCATGTATTGTGTGTGCATGTGTACCCAAAAATGTTAAAAGAATGTTGTGCAGTTATATTGCCTTTTGCGATTAGCTTTAATTATGTTGCTTGCCTTAGTTTCCACGGGTGTAGAGCAGTGAATTTAGAGGGGGAATGTGTATGTCTGTTTCTTTATCCCATTACTTTTGGCTTTCTGCCTGTTGTACATCACCTCTCCATTTAAAGGGTTCATCTGTACAGACAAGCATGATGTGTTTCTCTGACGCTTTAGCAGTGCTACTGTAAATGAAAGTGACAGCTTTCATATTTAGGAACAATGATCTTTTCCACAATTGGACTGAAGACTTGAAGCACCAGGAAGGGGTCTCAGATGACTGACTGTTGTGGTGCAGTCACACTGGGAAGGAAACTGCTAGCTGTTGCTTGACTCACTGGAGGGATCCCGCATGTGGTGACCACTGGATCCTAATGCAGAATGCTTTGTTGTGGGTTCTTTTTCTAAGGGAACAATAGCACAGCTGCCCTCCCCCACTCCCCCAAACTCACCTCCTACCCCTACTTTTTTTTTTTTTTTTAAATGTAGGATCTCACTGTATAACACTGGCTGACTTTGAACTCACTGTGCAGAGTAGGCTACCCTCAAACTTGTGAAGCTCTTCTTGCCCCTGCCTTTTGAATATTAGTATCATAGGCAAGTCCCTCCATGCACATCTAAAAACCTTCATTGTGATGATTATAGAGGTTACTTGGAAAATAATCTTTAAATCTTTTAGTTTCCCTTAGATTGTAATTCAGCTCATCCGTGATTACAATTTTGCCTTTAAATCCTTGGGAGCAATGCAGCTTGTTGTTTTATCTACAGACGGAAGAAGAGGGGCAGAGTTATGAAGGTTGTCTAGTGAAATGAGGGAAGGTCCTTGGGGGAATTAGTTTTCAGAGCTTCATTTTGAAGTACTTATGGCCCTGTACATTGGCCTACTCTTTGCCTTAATTGACTGATGGATCAGTTGGTTGAGGCAGAGCTTTCACTTTGTAGCTTAAATTGGCCCAGTGCTTGAAGTTTAGCTCAGTCTGTTGGTAAACTCCAAAATGTCCTGCCTTGGCCTCCCGAGTGCTAGGATTGCAGGTGCTGCACATGCCTGACTCCCGTTGGCCAATTAAGAATTGCCTTTCAGGTATACATTGTGACACATTTGCCTTCCTTAGCTGTAGGTACTTTAGATGTTCATATTAGAATGCTCATCTGGTATGCTGTACCTTCATTTTTTACAATTGCTATCTATTGAGGTTAGAGCGTAGTATGGGCTGGGTCAATGCTAATGGGCAAAAACAATCTAGAATTTAAATTTTACTTGGGAGAAGCAATAGCCAAAATAATTTATGGGCTGTTTTCAGAGGACACTGTGCCTAGCCAAACCTGTGGTTTTAAAAGATGTGATTTTTTTTTTTAATGTGATAATGAGATACTGATTTTCACCTTATGGTGTTTACTTCATCCTTTGTGTTTTGAAAGTGATATTAGCAGTAACAATGATATCTTTTACTGCCTTCTTATAAAAGTGATTGGTGGATATGGGTAACATAAAGGAAATTTGAGATAGAGTAAGAGGCTTTCCAAATTACTAAAAATATCTTCTCAGTATTTTTTGTTAGAGAGTATATCAGTACACAAGACATGTGCACAAAACTAAAGAAGCTGGGGAAAAAAAGTCCTCTTTAAAAACAATCTGTTCCTAAATTGAAAGCTGGCTTTTTTGCATGAAGTTTTTCCTAGTTATTTGTTGTATTCAGAAGTTATTTCATATTGTTCTGTGCACAATGCATGCTTTAACCAAAAAGCCCTTACTCTGGTGTTTTTCCTTTCCTAGGAGTCAGTGGATCGATGGGGAAAATGCTGCTTGTCCTGGGCCCTGAGCTGTAGAAAGAAGACTCCAAAAGCAAAGTACATGTACCTGGCACAGGAGCTCCGCTTCGATCCTGAGTGGCCACCTAAGCCTCAGACAACGACGGAAGCCAAAGCTGTAGTAAAGGAGAATGGATCATGTCAGATCATCACCATAGCATAGCGAAGACTGCTCTGCTATGCCAGTAGCAGTATTCAGCAAGATGTGCTGTTGAGCTTTTCTGACCCTGTGTCAGAATGGCACCAATTCAGTTTATATCCCTCTCATAATATGGCAGTTGATTAAAACACAAAAACGGTAACATGTCATTTGCTGCACAGTTATTAACTATAAATCTGGCTATATCTTCATGCAGTAACCTAAATATGATATACACTTTATATTGGGTATGAGAGAACTGTATTTGGGTTATAGATTTTAGCTTTTGACACTAGTTTGCCTCTTTAAATTTAATTTTCACAAATCCCTTTATTAGGAAGTTCTTTTACATATAGGCCCAAAAATTGTGATTGTTAAAAATTATAGTTGTTAATTGTGATTAGCCTTCAGTGACAGTAGGTTGAAAGCCTATTTTGATCCCAGTGTTTTCTCCCGAAGAACTGTATGTTAAATATAACCAGTTTTCTTTTATGACCTGGAGTTAGGAGTGAGTTTCTGTGTTATTGTTGATAAAACAACTCAGGTAATTTCCATTTCTGGTTTTATATTCTCTGTGTAGCCTGCCTGGGTGTCACTTTCTAGCCAGTAAGGTGCTCCATTGCTGTCTTCAGATGTCCTTCATAGTATTCCATGGGTCCCATGCAGTATCTGACGTCAGCAGTCTAGTTAAGCAAAGAACTCTCTCACTAGAAAGATTTGTTTCTGAGCCAGGCATGACAGTAAAGGCCCCTAATCCTACACAGGAGTCTGAGGCAGGAGAATTGTTCTTAGTCCAAGAATAGCCTAGAATAGATAGTAAAAGCCTGTCTCAGAATACACATGCCGAAAGATTGAGGTTAATTCTCTTGGCAGTAGATCTCATTCATATCTCTTCAAACCTTTTTTTTTTTTTTGAGACTTGTATCATTTTAAATATTTCATATTTCCTTTCTCCCTCTCCTACCTAAAAGAATGGAATGATGCTGTTTTTGTTTTGCTTTGAGTTAGACCTTAGCCTTACTATATGTCTCTCCTTTGAATAATGGGGCTTAAAAGAATAATGAATATTGAATTTGAATGACTTTTACAAAGCAATATGAACTTGTAGAGTTTGCTTCGTGCCATTAGGTGGCACCAGAGATCATCACATACCTATTTTGTAACAAGTGAGCTTGAGAAAATTAAATATATACATTTTTAGCTAACCAGAATGAGGAAAGCATTTACAAAATTTATGTTTTATCTGATTGTGTTCAGTTTTCAAGGAGCTTTCACAATGCCTTCCTAGGTAGGACCTGCCAGTTTGGCAGTGCTATAAAATTTTTTTTGGCCTAAATTAGCCAAAAAACAAAACAAAAAAAAAGAGTAACATTATTCTGTGTTCTTTTTTAACTAACTACAGGTGCATGCTTTCCACTCCGGGTTGATCATATTTTCCTAGTACACACCAGTTTACCAAATGTTAACCAGATTTGTGGAATTTTTTTTTCTCTTGTTTTTTTGGCTTTTTGTTTGTTTGTTTGTTTTGTTTTTAATGTTGCAAAGCCCCGAATGATGTTTGATAATTGTAGAAAAAGTAAATTCGTCTCAGGATCACTGTTACTGCTATTGCCACTAGTGATTCTTAGGAAATATATAATCGACCTTTTCCAGCAAAATGTATGATATTATATGTTAGATAATAAGAACAATTGTCCCATGAATGATTCTATGAAGCTATGCATCTTAGACCTCTTGAGCTGTGAATTAGCACTATTTTCTATAGTTCCTTATTCTTTATTATTTTATACTTTCTATGTTCATTTCAATAATGTTAATGTTATTCAATCATTTTCTGAATTGTTAACTCTTATTCTTTGGTTTAAATACTGAAACATGACTAATTGCTAACTATAGCTTAGAAACCCAGTATCAATTGTATTTAACATCTTTAAGAGCGTGATCATAAAGGTATTTGACACTTCATTTTAACATTTAGAGTTGATAAGGGTTTATATCTCATCTGTTCATATTGTTTGCAAAGGAACAAGGTTTTATGTAGGTGAGAGAAAGCATTTGTACGAAGTTAGATTTGAACATAGACAGGATAGGTTATTCCAGTTAAGAATGTTGTTCAGAGAATGTCTGTGAATCCAGACGTGGATGGGTCCTGCTTAGTGCCATAGGTAGATCGAGTCTTCTGTAGGTCATCATTACATAGTAATTTTGGTTCTGAATTTTACGTTAAATTATTTGAGTATATACAGACCTAAATTTTAAAATCTGTACATATATTATTTTGATGTATTAAGATTGATAATATTGCTGATTTAAATTTTATTTATGCACATACTTAAAGGACAGAAATGTCTGGGAAAGTAATTGTTAAATAATGATATGTAGCTTTTTAACTTTTTAAATAAATAACAAGATTTTTTAATGTGGGTCTCCCTCAGGGTTGTTTAAAGTTGTATGTTTTCTTCCCTTAAATATAAATAAATAGTGGTAACTGCTTTCTATCTTCTAGCTCCCACTGCTGTAAGGGAATGCTGCAAACAGTGCTTGGGCGAGGGTGGGGCGCCACAGCAAAGCCTGGGGTACAAACGCTTTCCAGGTCGCACTGTTCATTTAAGCAAACCTGTTGTTGTTTTTATAATTTATTTCCCATGTTGATGAAAGTACTGCACAGTTTCAGAGGCATGGTAAATAATATGTCATTCATATATATATATATATATATATATATATATATATATATATATTCCAAAAGCAGCAAAAACTCATATCCAGTGAAGAGCAACTTCAAGCTTTAGACAACATCTAATATCTCATGCATGCAACTTTGTTGTATCAGATAAAAAAGTTTTGTATATTTATGGTGGGAGGCTACTGGGAACTTTTATCAAAATAGGGTATTAACTTTTGTACAGTCTAGGTATTTACATGTATTTTTAATGTATTACAATTTGGTAATTATGTGCACATGAAATTAATAAAAGTTACTTCCTGTTATAATTTGTGAATTCCCTGAGACCGTGGATTTTTTTAAGTAACTTTATATATCAGAAATGACAGACACATCTTTATATTTTTAAAATTGTATTGCTGCTCAAGAATGGTACCCTGTTGTCAAAAAGGTAGATATTCCTAATTGTACATTCAGCATTGTAAATACCATATGAAATCCTTTTTGATTGAAGCTATTCAAAATAAAAAATTTTAATGAATTAAATATGTCTACTTTTTTTTTCCCTGGGTCTTTTACACACTTTAATTATGTAAGTATAGCTAGCTCTCTCAGGACCAATTGCACTGTGGTGTGTTTTGTTTTTTGTTTGGCCTGGGTGGGTAGTTGAGAGGAAGGCAGCTTGGCTATTTAGCTTGATGGACTGGTTGTGGGAAGAGCTGGCTGGCCGATGCACACTGCAAGTAGGATGGCAGTTAGGGGCTCTAGAATTGCTTCTTGGTGAGAACTAGAGCCAGACTTTTTGAAGTAAGGTCCAGGGATCTCTGTCTAGTATGTTTAGCTTCCCTTGTGAATTCCAGGGATTAAATGAGTCTTCGTGCCAAGCATTTTGCTTATCCAGCTCTCTCCCCAGACTCTGGATCTTTGTTCTTGATGAGTGAAGATGATCTTTCACTTCGTGTTAAGAATGACAAAGTGATTGAAGCACATTCAAAGTACCTCTGTGTCTTAGGTACATACAGAGGAACCTGTATCCACTGGAGGTCTGAATGCTCGCCAAGGAAAACAGCATTAGAGCATTTAAAAGAATTGGTGAATATTCTGCCTTGGAGGAATTTACTTAATAACCTATGACTTGAAAAACAGACGAATAATATCTTTCATAAAGAATGTCTACATTATAGTTGCATATAGGAAAATGAGCATAGCTGGACATTGATGCATTCTTTGTTACTCCTAAAGTTTAGGACACTTAAGGCCAGAAGATTGTAAATTTGAAGCTAGAGCATGGGCTACATATATACATAAAAAGGTTGTCTAAAGAAGAGAAAAATAGACATTTTTTAAAGGGGAACCCGAGTTTCTCAAAAGCTGAAGCACAGGTGGCCCTTGGTTGTAAGAAAGACAAGTTTGTCATTAAACAAATGCAGCATTAGAAAGCATATTGAGACAATAGGTTGATAGATTGGTGTGGTGTTTTGCTCTTTAGGCTGGGCCTAAGCTGTACCAGGTGAAGGATAGGCACTTATGGAAACAATGTGAATGATTGAAAGGATGCCGAGTCTTAAGTCAGCACTGTGAAGACCAGGAGTTCTTGTGTGGTGACTGTGGCAGTACACACTGGTTGGCAGTGACATTGGGTTAAACGGAACACAACCCCTTGAGCAATGCTGTTGCTGAACTTGTTAGACAACGGCTAGACTGATGGGGGGGGGGTGAGAATCCCTTAGCCTTGTTTAAGAAAATATTGGACAAAGGAGATGGCTCATCAGGTAAAGATACCTCCAAGACAGATGGTACGAGTCCTTGGAAACCGACATGGAGTAAGGGGAGAACTGATTGCCTCAAGTTTTCTGACACCCATGAGTGGGGCACTGCCACATGTGCACCCACATAATCATGCCCAGGAATTGAGAATTAGTGCAATGTAGCATGGGGAGGGAGGGAGGGAGGGAGGGAGGGAGGGAGAGAGAGAGAGAGAGAGAGAGAGAGAGAGAGAGAGAGAGAGAGAGGAAAAAGAAAAAAAATGTGGCCTATCGGTATGACAGCATGCCATTTCTGGAAAAATTTAGGCCTTCTACCCTCTAGCTTTGACAATATTACCATGGACTCTCAAAGTTTGAACGCTCTTGTCATTAAAACCTAGAATATGCCCTGTGGAGATAGTCTTTTTCTTGACTTTTTAATCTGGTAAGGTCTTTATCTTCAGGATGCAACAACACTCCCTCTTCCTCTGTGAAGTGCCAAGTCACAAGCAGAGCTGCAAGCCTTTCAGTCAGTCCAGGGTACAGAACTGCTTCAGGTAAGGCCAAATATTCTTAAATTAGTGTATGCAATTAGAGGCTCAGTCTGTATAGGGGCAAAAGGAGACCTGGTACAACAAACGGTACAAATTTTTACTTGGGAAACATTTTTTGAGTAAACTAGTATTACTGTATGCTTCCTGGGTAACTCAATGCCCAGAGTAGTTTAAAGCAGTTTGGCTTATAAGTAAACAGTAGCTCATTATTTAAATGTGTGAGGTAGGAAGACTAACTTCAAATTCTATTTATGTGACCCTTAACCTCAGGTGCACTGGAGCGCTCAGCCTACTGCCCGCGTGGTGCTGTAACAGTACAAAGTTCAAAGAAGCACGGCATAAAGCAGTGGACATTATCACCTGCTCCACCGGGCTTGTGGGGGTTTGCGGGGGGGGGAATTACAGAAGGGTGTAATGTGTTATGGGGTGTTGATACTTTGAAAATACATAAGAAATTGAATCTACTCGAAGTGGGCCTTGCTGTTCCCTTGCTGACTGTTGGAGATAAAGCTTCCCTGCTTAAGTTGTGAGAGTCAGTGGCACAGCCAGTCTCAGTAGGCACTGCTTTCTATTTTTGAAGAAGACCGTGACAATTTTAATTCGTTCTGTAACGATTTTAAAGTGGTATTGTCCATTCTGTATCTCGAAGGTACTCAAATGTCAGTGCTCTAAACAACGGGGGAGAGATGGTTCAGTGGATAAAAATGTGTCTCCAGCACCCACAAGCTGAATAGAAAAGTAATTTGTTTTTTTAATCAGCCTTTGTAAGAATGGAAGGAGAGCTAACGGTTGTATCTGGTGTGCTGGCCGGAACTGTACTTGCATCAGGTGCAGGTCTCCAAGATCTTCTCTGAGCCTTGTGTCATGCTCTTGCCTTTCAGATATGCTAAGGAGCGCCCTGCTGTTCGTAGTGCTCGCACTCGTGCAGGCCCAACCTTTCCCCTGCCCCCAAACCTGCAAGTGTGTGGTCCGCGATGCTGCGCAGTGCTCGGGCGGCAGCGTGGCTCACATCGCTGATTTAGGTCTACCCACGAACCTCACACACATCCTGCTCTTTCGAATGGACCAGGGCACACTGCGGAACCACAGCTTCAGTGGCATGACGGTCCTTCAGCGCCTGATGCTCTCGGATAGCCACATTTCCGCCATCGATCCCGGCACTTTCAATGACCTGGTGAAACTGAAAACCCTCAGGTTGACGCGCAACAAAATCTCTCATCTTCCACGTGCGATCTTGGATAAGATGGTGCTCTTGGAACAGCTGTTCTTGGACCACAACGCACTAAGGGACCTTGACCAAAACCTGTTTCAGAAACTGCTTAACCTGCGGGAGCTCTGTTTGAACCAGAATCAGCTCTCTTTTCTTCCTGCTAACCTTTTCTCGAGCCTGGGAAAACTGAAGGTGTTGGATTTATCGCGAAACAGCCTGACGCACCTGCCCAAGGGATTACTTGGGGCACAAGTTAAGCTTGAGAAACTGGTGCTCTATTCAAACCAGCTCACGTCTGTAGATTCGGGGCTGCTGAGCAACCTGGGCGCCCTGACTGAGCTGCGGCTGGAGCGGAATCACCTCCGCTCCATCGCACCGGGTGCCTTCGACCGCCTCGGACACCTGAGCTCCTTGACTCTGTCCGGAAACCTCTTGGAGTCTCTGCCGCCCGCGCTCTTCCTTCATGTGAGCAGCGTGACTCGGCTGACCCTGTTCGAGAACCCTCTGGAGGAGCTCCCGGAGGTGCTGTTCGGGGAGATGGCGGGCCTGCGGGAGCTGTGGCTGAACGGCACCCAGCTGCGCACGCTGCCCGCCACCGCCTTCCGCAACCTGAGCGGCCTGCAGACGCTGGCGCTCACCCGGAACCCGCGCCTGAGCGCGCTCCCGCGCGGCGCGTTCCACGGCCTGGCGGAGCTGCGCGTGCTCGCGCTGCACACCAACGCCCTGGCGGAGCTGCCGGACGACGCGCTGCGCGGCCTCGGACGCCTGCGCCACGTGTCGCTGCGCCACAACCGGCTGCGGACCCTGCCCCGCACGCTCTTCCGCAACCTCAGCAGCCTCGAGACCGTGCAGCTAGAGCACAACCAGCTGGAGACGCTGCCAGGAGACGTGTTCGCGGCTCTGCCCCAGCTGTCCCAGGTCCTGCTGGGTCACAACCCCTGGCTCTGCGACTGTGGCCTGTGGCCCTTCCTCCAGTGGCTGCGGCATCACCAGGACCTCGTGGGCCGAGACGAGCCCCCTCAGTGCCGTGGCCCAGAGCCACGCGCCAACCTGTCGTTCTGGGAGCTGCTGCAGGGTGACCCTTGGTGCCCGGATCCTCGCGGTCTGCTTCTCGACCCTCCAACGGAAAATGCCCTGGAAGCCCCGGTTCCGTCCCAGCTGCCTAACAGCTCCCAGTCCTGGGCTTGGGTCCAGCTGGTGGCCAGGGATGAAAGTCCCGAGAACAGGTTCTACTGGGGTCTTTATATTCTGCTTCTAGTAGCCCAGGCCATCATAGCCGGGTTCATCGTGTTGATCATGATTAAAATCGGCCAGCTGTTTCGAACATTAATCAGAGAGAAGCTCTTGTTTGAGGCCATGGAAAGATCGTGTAACTGAACTGTGACCAGAGCATTGTGGACAGGGCCCCAAGGAAAATCCAGTCAGGATGCAGGCATGCCATTCCTCCATTTCCCATGACTTTTCTCCTCTCCCTTGCTCTCTGGAGTATCATTTGTAAATCGCCACTGCTTTCTAGCCTGAGCTGGGTTTCCTCCACTGTTGCTAGTTTCTGGGGAGGAGAGGGCGTGGGGGGCGGGGAGGGGGTTGGCTCCTGTTTGGCTCATCCGGTCCTGCGGTGCAGCGCTGGGTGCTTAGTGGAGAGAGGATCTTTTTCTTGGTTTCTGAGTCTGAGGACACATCCTGCCAGGAGGGAAAGACCTCTCCTGCAGCCAGCAAGGGATGGGCAGCATTTGCTGAAGGAACACCAGCCTAAAACGAACCCTAGATCCCAGAGATGAAGGCTCTTCTCAGGAAAAAGCTGGAGTGTTTTTGTCCCGTTCTACCTGAAATGAGAACTCATGTCTGTTCCTTTTTGTTGTCTCATTTTCAGTTCGTTCTGCTCTGGGGCTATTTAGAAGGGCACTGGTCTCTGATTCAGCTCCAGGACCAATTTCAGGGCAAGCCTCCTCTGTGATAGGCTTGAGCTAGGACACACAGGAGCTCCCATCCCCATCCTAGTGACGGCGGCCACTTTGCAGCACCCACTCCTGACCTGAC